TTCTTGGTATATACTGGAGAAAACCTAGATTTATATTCTGTTTTTTTTACATTCTATGTTTATTCCATCATCATCATCATCATCATTTATTCATTCAATTCAATCATGATATTCATTCATTCATCATGGTATTTTCCATTCAAACACTAATAGTAATCATAATCATAATAATAATAATAATAATATCCGCAATGTTTAGGGGCAAGGATTGATGGCATAAAAAAAACTATGTGAGTGAAACGAGTATATTGTAACACATTATCGAAATGATTTCGCCTACGCCTACACACACACACACACACACACAGAATAAAAAACAAACGAAAAAAAAATTGACAATAATCAACAACAACAACAACAACAACAACAACAACGAAAACAAAAACAAAAATCCAAAAACAATCAAACTGAAGATGATGACGACAACGATGATGATGATGACAAACAAAATGAAAAGGTTTTTTTTCTGGAGAATTTTTGAAATTAAAAAAAAAATAAAAAAAAAATTTCAGAGGATTTTCACTTTATCACTCAATGATGATCATATATATTCTGCTGCATTTCTCTCCAAAATCCATGATTTTCAAATCGGTTTCGAATATAAGATCCAATGGCTTGAAAATAAAAACCAAATAAACAACAACAACAACAACAACAAAATAAAAACGGATAAATCTTTCAAGTTTTTTTTGTTTGTGTGTACAGGACATTTATTATGATTTTCACAGACCAAAAAAAAAAAAAATGTTTCAATGATGAAAACAAAAGAAAAATAGAAACAAATTTCATGCTTGAAAAATAAAGAAAAAAATTCTTATGGATTTGTTTGTGATCGATTGAGTGGAAATTCTCATTCTTGATAAAAAACACTAACCAAAGAATTTTAGTGAAAAAAATGAATGAATGAACAGCCAAACAATAGAATCATCATTACTGAAACAAGAAAAAAAAACTGAATGATTGATTTTAATAATAATCAAATTTGATGAAAAAAATTTTTGAGAAAAAAAAATTGAAAAAATTTTTTCTGTTTCTCCCAAATTCAATTGGATATGATTGATTAGATTTCAAGATGGTCAAGATGTATAATATGGCGGCCGCCATAGCCGCTGCCGCCACCATCATCATTAACTAAAAAAACCGAATCAGTCCACTTTTCAAAAAAAAAAAAAAAACAAACATACAAGCAAACCAGACAGAAAAAAAATCCGGTTAATATTACCCGGATATAGAATATTAAGTGAATCGAAAACAAAAAGAGAAAACCACACACACACACACACAAATCTGGTTAATTTCCATTTCCTATTTTTTTGTTTTGTTTTGTTTTGGCTCTACGTTTGTCTATATTAAATATGATATGATGGCCAAAAATGAAATGTTACAAACCAGTGAAAATATCAAAAAAAAATGACATATATTGACCATTGATATTGACTTGTATGATGCATTGAATAATGATGTTGATGATCGACTATAACGACAACGACAACAACAAATATGAAGACGATTTGTATTGAAAGTCAAAGAGCACATGAATGAACAGACACACACAAAAAAAAATCAAAAAAAAAAAAGATTCAATCTATAGATGGCTATTTATTTGTTCATGTCTGATATTGGTATGGTCAAACAATAATAATCGGCCAAACCAAAAACAAAACAAAACAAAACAAAACAAAAAACGATAATCATTACTTGTCGAACTTTTTTTTTGTTTTGTTTTGTTTCTGTTTTTTGTATTTGAATCACTATCATTATCATTTTTATCAATTTCTTCTGCGATTCAAATACATTACAATTGTTTTTTTGCTGCTGCTGCTGCTATTTGAACAAAGTTTTTTTTTGTTTCTTGCTCGATTCGTTTCATTTTCAAAATTTTTTTTTTCACATCTATTCAACTTTACAGCACATTCATTCATCCATCCATCCATGTGGTGACGACAATCATCAACCAATGATGATGATGATGATGATGATGATGATCGTTTTTTTTTTTTATAAATTTTCTTTTGTAATATTTATTTAATATAATGATGTATAACCAAATCGAATGAACCAAATGAATGAATGTGAACACTGAAAGCAATAATTCAAGCAGGAATGGGTAACAAAAAAAAACTATCGATGTTTATGACGACTATAAATGTATGCATACAATTTAAATACAATGAAAACTTATTCTTAACACACACACAAAAACGCACGCACACACGAAAAAAAATCTTCAATTCTCATCAAAAAAGAATCAGAAGTTTTTTCATCCATTCATTCATTCATTCATTTCATTTGGATAAATGTGAAAAAAACGAAAAAATCCGAATCGAAATAAAAACAAAACGAAACGAAACGAAACAGCAAAAAAAAGTTTACAAAATTGTAAAGTTTAAGCAGCAATTGATTTATGATTTTTTTTTGTCTTCTTATTCGCTTGTTTTCAGTGAGAAAAACGAAGAAAAAAAAACATCAACACGAATTTAGATTCAGATTTTTTTTTAAATGCTGATGATCGATTGAATGAATGAATGAATGAATGAGACGATCATGTGGTAGCACGCGTTTTTTTTTGTTTCTTTTTTGTTCACATCGATTTTTTTCCTAATGTATGTATTTGGATTATTTTTAAAACAAAAAAAAAAAAACCAATTATAGCCAATTGGTGTCAATCGATCGATCGATCGATCGAATGAAATCATTTCACATTTGAACACAAATATCATCATCATATCAAACATTTTAATCAATTAAATTTGGCTAATAAACACTGTATTTTTATGACATAAACAAACACACACACACACACAGTGTGTGTGTTAAAAATGACACTAATAATAAACCTTTTCATTATCATCATTATATCTAAATAATATCGTATGACGCCCAATTCATTCAACTTTATTATTATTATCACCACCACCACCACCACCATCACCACCATCACCACTATCACCACACAATCATCTAAACATAATAGAATGGAATAAATTATTACTGTTTCAACTTATATTTGGGCGTTGATCAATTTATTATTATTGGCAACAACAAAAACAACAACAACAACAAAGACAAGCTAGAAAGAAAAATTATCAAATTTCCTATAACTGTTATTTATTGTCCGGTTGTTGTTGTTGTTGTTGTTGTATCGTCGTTTGTTTGAATTCCCCTGTTGGCCATTGGTCAATACCGGAAAAAGAAAACCAACAACAACAACAACAACAACAATGGAAAACAAACACCAACAAAACAACAACAATGGTGTGTTGAAAACAGTGAACAGTTTGTTATCAATTTCATAGGATTTATCATATATACACAAACCAAAAATAAATACAAAACACAATTGAATTCAATCAACAACACACACACACACACACACACACACATGGAAAAACAGACACTGAATTAATAATGAATCAAGAAAAAAAAAATACAAAGAATAAAGAATAAGATACACACACACACACAGATACAAGAACAGTTTAACAGAATAAACGGAAAAAAATTACTCAAGTTTTTTTTTGGAACACCATAAATAAATGGATGAATGAATGAATGAATGAATGAATGGAGAAAACAAGGAAAAAAAAGAACAACCAAAAATATCAACATAACAAAAAACAAAACAAAACACAAAAACAAAACAAAACAAAACACCATTGAATATTACGATTTAAGAGTTGTCACTATATTCATTTGTAGGTTGTTGTTATTATTATTATTATTAAACCATACAAATGGTTATCATATCTTCAATGATCATCACGATGATGATGATGATGATGATAGGTAATCGTGAATCAAACAAAACAATCATAACATCATCATCATCATAAATCAAAATAAATTAAATGTAATTTGTTGATGTTGGAAGATAAATTCCTTTGTTGTTGTTGATTGTAATTGTTATTGATGTCTTGAGATTGAACTATTGTCATCATCATTGTTTTTTTATTATCATTCAATGATGGCATCAAGTGATGATGATAACGATGATCATCATCATCATAATGTCTGATTCGCATACTCAAGATAAATATCTATGGATACTAATATAAATACTATCCAGCTAAAAAAAAAAAAATAAAAAAAAACCGGATTTTGATTAATTGGATCATTTTTTTTTTGAAAAAAAAACATAAATTGAACACTTTGGATGGAACAATAAATAAAAGGGATCAGTGGTGAAAAAAAATGGATATGAAATTTCATTTTCAATTGAATGGTGATAATGAAATTTCATTTCATTTGATTCATTTTTTTTTTTGATTCAATAAATTTTTCATTCCAAAAATAGCACACACACACACTGATGATGATGATGATGAACACCAATAATTGAATTTTTTTTTCGTAAAAAGAAAGAAAATTTTGACCAAAAAAACCAGAAAAAAAGAAGCGAAAAAAAAAAAAAAAGATGAACAAACCTTTCTCATTTATTTTCACCAAATGGAATTTGATTAACGAATCCCCATCGATGGATTCAATTCGTTATTTTATTTTTTAAAAACGGTGATGATGGTGGTGGTGGTGGTGGTGGTGGTGGTGGTTGATGAATTGCTCGTTGATGAATGAAAACAGTGAATTTTTGATTATTAAAAAAAAATGAAACTGTGTGAACCAAATCTCAAATCCTAAAATATAAACCGGAAATCCTGTACAGTCTACTGTACAGCAAACAAACAAACAAAAATCTAATTTTCATAAATGACAAACAAAAACATAAAAAAAACTGAAAAACTAAAAAATAAACGGAACTCACACATTCCACATACGGTGATTATTGTTGTCGTTGATTATTGTTATCGTTGTTGTTGTTGTTGTTGTTGTTGTTGTTGTTGTTGCTGGTGAAACATTCTGATGAATGTGTGTGTGTGTGTGTGTGCAGCAAACAAACAAAAAAAAATTGAATAAATGACCACAGATAATTCTAATATTCTTTCAAGAATTTGGTCCGGAATAAAAACATTGAGCCATGAGCAAAACAACGACAACAACAACAGAAAAATGTTTGATAATAAAATGACGACAATGATGATGATGATGATGATAATGTTCAAGAATGGGGTAATGACAATCGAATAAATAAATAAACAAAACAAAACAAAAAAAAGCGCGGAAATTATAGAATGGCGATAACGACAGTAATGAGGCTAACAAATGGTAGATATAGACGACGACGACGACGACGGCACATACATCACTGAATGTTTTGACATTTTCACATAGATTTTCCTATAGGAATTCAAAATTCTAGAAAAATAAAAAATAAAAAATTTTCGATTATCAATTATTTGATCGGAAAATAAAAAAAAAAATTGAAAAGAAAATCCAATCATACACACATAAAATGCAAAAAAAACGAAAAACATATATTCATTGAAATCGTTAATATAATGGTTAAATGAGAAAGAAAAACAAATCTAAAAAAAATTTTCATATATGATCAAAATTGACTTGTCGAACTGACTGTCAATCTTTCTCAGTGTGTGTGTGTGTATGTTGCACTTACTTTTGTAAAATATTGCTAGTTATATTTCGAGAATTTGTCGCTTGTTGTTGGTCGCACATATAAAATAACCGTAAAAAAAATAGACGACGACGACAACGACGACGATGTTGATGACAATGATGTGATGATCGAAGTTAAAATCTAAACCATGAATGAATTGAAAACTAAAAATGTGTGCAATCTCCGGTGCCCGTCATTGATCATCACCATCATCATCATCGTTGTTCCTTGTATAAATTGCAAAACAAATTTTTTTTTTGATGCGCTTGCGTGTCTACTTGTGTGTGTGTGTGTGTCTGTCTTATTTGATTTTCAATGCACGATTAAAATAAGAATAAAAATAAAAAATTCGACAAACACACACAAACCAGAATATATGGGGAATCAGAGAGAATGAACCTCGAACTACATTTCGAATATTTCGACTGAGTCGACGTCATTGTTGTCGTAGTAGTCGTCATAATCATCATCATCATCAACATCGACATCATTTTTTTTTGTTGGACAATTTTCATTTCTCTTCACAATATATATCACATTTAAAAATGGCTTTAATAATACGATTATTATTAGCTAGTGGCAATAAATAAACATATTATTATTATTATCATTAATAATACGACGATTATTACCGAAAATTATTATTATTATTATTATTATCCAAACGAAAGAAAAATTATTGGAACAAAACCAAAATCAAAAAAAAAGAGTAAGAGAGAAAAATAAATCAGTAGCAACTGATTAGTAGATTTTTATTTATTTTTTTTTATCTTGCTTGTTTCCTCCTTATGTTTTTTCGATATTTTTTTTCGTTTCTTGTTATCGATGAATCACTGTGTCTGTGTGTGTGTTTGTGTGTCTGAATGTCGATAACGAAAAAAAAAACTTTCGTTTCTAAACATCACCATCACCATCATTACCATCACCATCACCATCATCATCAGATATCTTAATTATAATGTGAAAATAGTTTGCTGTTAACACACACACACACACATTTATATAGATAGATTCTATAAATTCCATTGTAGACTTACACTACATTATTATCATCATCATTATTGAAAATAATAATCTGTGTGTGTGTAAAAAAAAAACACCCGAACAAAAATGACAATAAACTTCCGGACCATCAAGAATCAAGGAAAAAAAAATCTAAGAATATTTCGAACAAACATTTCCCGAAAATATAAACATTTGGATTTTTTTTCTCGATTTCGATTCTATTTTTTTTTTCATTCTGGAATTGATTTTTAATTTCTTCATTTTCGTTTTCATTTCGTTTCTTATTGAATTCAAAATGTATGCACACACACACACACACAGACGCATACGCACCAAATCAATGGTGTAATCCTTGTTGTTGTTGTTGTTGTTGTCGTTAGATTTCCTGGATGAAAAATACGCGATCCCTAGTGATTTTGAATATCCGAAATAATTGATGTGATGATTGGAAATGAGAAAGAAAGAATCAAACAAATAAACCAATGACGATGATGACGATAATCATCTTCATTTTGTGATGATGAATGAAAAAAAAAATCTAAAACAAACATCACCATCATCATGATGATCAAACAGACAAAATCGATTTTTTCAATATTCTTTTTTTTTAATTTGAATTCGAGAAATAATAATAAAAAAAACATAATTGACGTGTGTGTGGGTGTGTGTGTATGCGGGTGTTTGTGGAAAAAAATGAAATGAAAAACAAACAATCAATGAAAAATAGAAAGACAAATAGAAAAAAAAATCATTTCATTTGATTTGATTTGATTTGATATTATTAAAGCGTCAATCAATCAATCAATCAATTGATGAGAGAACGAATGAGAGAGAAATTGGAAAAATTATATATATATATATATATATTGAATACCCAGAGATCATCTATTACCGTTTTTTTTTCGTTTTGTTTCTTGTTCAAAATTGATACATAATTTATCAATTTGATGTTTGTGTTGATGTGTGTGAAAAATTTTCTACAAGTTATCATCATCATCATATTGTTTATATATCCAGGTGAAATTAATATAATCATGTGATGTATGTTAATTAGGTGATCAGAATATAATTGAAAAAAAAAATAAAATTTCATTATCAGCTAAGAAGAAAAAAAGCATTGCAGCCTGAATATATATATATATGTATTGTTGACAAGTTGCAAGTTGATGCCTTGTGTATTCGGGGATTAAAAAATGATGATGATGATGATGATTAGGATTTGAGGTTTTTTTTTGCTTTTATTTTCGATTTTGTTGTTGTTGTTTTTTTTTCATTATTCATCCATTTTGAATGAATAACGAAAAAAAGGCACAATATGGATATATCGTTGTCGTTGTTGTTGTTGTTTTTTTTTTGATGAAAAAAATTTGATGGATGAAAACATTATGGATTCAATGATTTGATGATCAATAAATTTTTTTTTTGTATTGACTTAGAATTAAAATATAATCAATCAATCAATCAACCAATCAATAGAATGAATCGAATCATTAAAATTGATTCAAATGTTTCGATTATTATCATTGATAATGTTGTTATTATTATTATCGTTGACCATACCACCATCAACAACATTATATTATTATTATTTATTGAAGCCGTTTGTTGTTGTTGATCATTATTGTTTCTGCTATTATTGTTATTGTTATTATTATTATTATTATTATTTGAAGAAATCTGACCATAATTAAATAATGAATGCCGTGCCATTCCATTATTTGTAGGCAAATCATAAACCAATTGTTGTAGATCGGTCAATTCTTGTAGAAAACTTGCTATATTCGAACCAAGTGATGATTCCTGTTGATTTAAACATTGTTCAATACTGATTCCTGAATTTAATGATGAAAACATTTTTTCATAATCAATGGCAATCGATATTCGACATATTGGACATTTTTTATTCTGTTTCAACCATTTATCAATACATTTTATATGAAACACATGAAGACAAGGTAATCGTCTGCAAAAAAAAAAAAAAAATTTGAATAAAAAAAAATCAATGATTTCATTTGAAACACAACAGACAAACAGACAAACATACCTGACAGTAATGTTGATACAGAAATGATCCAAACATATTGAACAAACTTCACTTTCACTTGTTTGATTTTGTTGGCTATTAAAACTTCGGCTACATTCACCTGAACCACCCCCACCATTATTATTATTATTATTATTATCGACAATTCTTTTCATTCGTTTTCGTTTTTTTGGTTTATATTCATAGGAAATAGTATGACGATTTATTTCCTGTTTAGTTAAACCATTCTGTAGATTAAACCAATGACCATCACGATTCAATTGAAGTGCTGTACCATGTAATCTTTCGAAAACATTACGTACAATATCACCACTGGTTGTCAATATTTCCGTTTGATTTGCTGTTGATGTCGATGTTGCCGATGATGGTGGTAATGTTGATATGGTTACATCTTGCGCATTTGATGATACATTCATATTTCGACGATTATTTTGTACATTATCCGCAGATGTTGATACCACTAATGGTAATGTTGGCGTTGCTGGAAAGGTAACTTGAATTGGTGATAAAACTATCTGTGAAGCAATTCGAGATAAATTCGGCCGATAAACTGTTGTCTCAAATTCTATTGGTCTTGCATTAGTTAATGTTGATGTAGGTGGTGTTGTTGATGCTACTGTTGTTGCTGATGATGATTCTACTGCTGCTGCTGCTGCTGATGCTGTAGTTGCTGATGAAGAATCATTCGACGACGATGATGATGAACCTGGTCGATATCTTCTATTTGAAAAAAATAATAAGAATTTGAATTATTATCATCAAAATAGCCATAATGAGAATAATACCATACCTTAAATAATATTGCCTATAATAATTACGTTCACGTTCAGCTATACGATTTCTTTGCATTGATGATGGTAGAGAAGCCTGTGATAAATCTCTACGCATAAGAAAAGGATAATTAAATGTAATATGAGGGGAAGAATTAGCGCCTGTAGAATCCGATTCCATTCTTGATGTATGCCTTGAGAATAATAATTTTATTTTTGGTTATTATTAATGTGATTAATCAATGGAAAATCAATATATATAAATTACTCAATTTGTATCTCTATACGTCCAAGAGATCGTCCATTATTGCCATTCGATGATGATGATGATAAATTTGCTGTATCCGTATCGGTGGTGGTTGATGATGATGATGATGATGATGATGAGGTCGTATGATGACCAATAATCGGTCTATTCCTTTGTTCCATTATTCTTCAAATACAAACGAAATTTTAATGGTGAAAATTCTATTTATCAATTCCAATATGTTTTGTTTTGTTTAAGCAAGAAAAAAAATGAAAAAAAACATGCAAACAAGAAAAGAAAAAAAACCCAGCGAACAAAAAATCGAAAATGAGCAAGTAAAAGAAAGAACAGCAAACAACAACAACAACATCGAAAAAAAAACAACAACATCAACATCACAGAAAGACAGACAGACACAAAAGCTTGAAAATTTCATTTGTGCCGTTCATAAATATCAGTCCAGTAAAAAAAAAATTTTTTTTTTCTTTTTGAGAACTTTAAATTTTCAAAATAAATGAAAAGAAATGAAATTCAAAAATTTAAAATTTTTAAAATTATTATTATTACTGTGTGATTGATTATTAAAAACAAAAGAAGAAAACATTGTCTATAAAAAAAATGATTCATATGTTATCCAACAACAACAACAAACAAAAATCAATATCCAATCAATTATTGCAATCGAAAATTACAAAAAAAAAAATCATGAGAAAATTCAGGGAATAAAAATGAAAATTCTTCTTCTTCTCGTCTTCATCGTCTTTTTGTTATTGCCAATATCGTCAGTTATGAAAGACGTGATCAAGAACAAATGACAGGTAAAAAGAATTTGTTGGCCGAGAGCTGTTTCGTCGTATCTTGGCGACATGAATTTTTTTTTCAAAAGTTATGTAATTTTTTTTTCATTTGAGAAATATAAAGAAAAAACTTTTGGCTTTTGATTATATACTGTTTTTGTTGCAAATATATGAAACTTTTTGACGTATATTCAAAAAAACACAGACAAAGTATATATATAGATGAGCCAGATATGTTTTGTTTTTCACGTCTTTTTGTTGTCTTAAATCGAATATATATAAGATAAATTAACCCAGTTTTTGTTCTCTTCTTTTTTTGTGATTAGTTTGGTAGTTAGCTGTCAATGGTGGTGGTGGTGGTTTCGCAAGCAACGTTTCGTTATTCTGGTTAAATGAATGAAAAAAAAAAAATATGTCTTCAGAAACATTGTATCAAATATTAACTGGTCATCAATCGGATGTAAATTGGATAGATTTTAATGGCCATCGTAAATTGGTTAGCTGTTCAAATGATCGTACCATTAGGCTTTGGGAATCAAATGATCAACAATATTTTGATAAACCAAAATTATCCACATTGATTGGACATGAATATGGTGTTAATTGTGTACGTTATTCACCATTCGGTACTATTATTGCATCAGCATCTACTGATGGTTGTATTATTCTATGGAATAGTCAGGTTAGTTTTTCTATTTTTTTTCATCTTCATTATTCATTTTTAATTAATTAATTATAATCAATCAATCAATTCACAATTCACATCAAGAATGGTGAACAAGTATTAAAAATGATGCATGAATCAAGAAGTGCAATACGTGTCTGTTGTTTTTCACCATCATCAGCATTATTAGCATCCGGTGCTGATGATGAAACATTAGTCGTTTGGGATATTAGTACAAGAACACGTATAAAGTAAGTGGTTTTTTTTTCTTTGCTTTGAATTTACTAATTTCCATATATAATTCATATGTAGAACATTATATAAACATGATGCAAAAATAACTGGCTGTTCATTTACACCTGATAGTACATATATGATTTCATGTTCAAGTTCAGGTGATCTAAAATTATGGGACACAAAATATGGAAATGTTTCCTATCTAATGACATATGAAGTTGCACATGATCTTGGTGTTTTAGGTTGTGATTTTAGTTCACAATATGAAGTGAATGGTAAATAATATAATATTTGCTTGTTTGTTTGTTTGTTTATTTGTTTGATTGATTGATTGATTAATGGTGGACAAATATACAATACTGCCCATAATAGTTGCCGATGGTCCATTACAAAGTTTTTATCTATTAGCAACATGTGGAAATGATGATTTAGTCAAATTATGGCATATAAGTGGTGGCCTTAATTGTTCAATAACATTATCACATACATTAATTGGTCATAATGCTAATGTTAATTGTTGTAAATTCTCAATGGATGGTTCATTATTAGCATCGGCGTATGTATATTCATTTCATTTTAGAATAATCCAAGATCCAAGACAATAAATGTTTTTTTTTGCATTCAAACAAACAAAAAAATAGTGGCGGTGATAAAATGGTTATTGTTTGGGATCCAAAAATTGGCCAAATGATCCATCGTTTAGATGGACATAAACGTTATGTAACCAGTTGTGCATTTTCTGATGATAATCAATTATTAGCATCCGGTTCTAATGATCAAACAATAATTGTTTGGCATTTGAATAAAATTAAAGTTAAACATATTAATATACGAGCGACAACACAACGACAATATTCAGATGAATCAATAAATAATAATCAATCAATAAATCAGCAGAAAAAAATGTTAAATAAACATTCATTATCATCATCATCAACATCATCACAGGAACAGCAGCAACAACAACAAAATGAAAATGGTTTATTTAGGAAAAAATTCCCTACCGAATGGAATCCGGATGATGTTTGTGATTGGCTTTCATCATTAGGTCTTGGACGGTATACGAAAATATTTCGTAAAAATGAAATCGATGGTCCAGAATTGTTGCATCTAACACATGATGCTTTACTTACAAATCTACGAATCGGTATACTAATTTTTTTTTGTCTACCTATCAATCAATCAATCAATCAATTCATTTTTTTTCTCATCCACTCACAGAACCTTTAGGTCATCGGAATAAAATTCTTCGTAGTAGTTTGTTTCTAAAAAATCCATTATGGTTGAATACAGATGAAATGGATAATGAACGTATACATAAACCGATGGAATTTTGTTGTCCAATCACCAAAGATGTTATGAATGATCCGGTTGTTGCTTCAGGTTTGAAGAAAATTTAAAAAAATTTGATTCATCAAATCTAAAATCATATCTGTTGTTGTTGTTGTTGTTGTTGACGTTTTTGTGCTTTAAATTATATAGATGGACATTCATATGAACGATTAGCAATGCAAAAATGGATAACCGATGGAAATGTTACTAGTCCGTTGACAAATGAAATACTTGCCAGTCAAATATTGACACCAAATTATAATCTAAGAAGTTTGATACAAAAATTTCGTAGTACAATACCACCAATACCATTAAAAGATTGATTCAAATTCGATTCATTTATCTGTCTCTGTTGTCGTTATGATGTCATATATAGTCGTATTAAAATAACAGAAAAAAATAAAGTTTTTTTCGATAATTTTAAAAATTCCAATTTACAAGTATTTAGTATACAGTGGCCAATCATGATGGCCAGAGGTAATGGATGAGAGCAAAACAAAACAAAAAAAAAAAGACTAAAACGACGATGAAGATGAAGAAGAAACAAGAGTCAAGGTTAACGTGTTAGTATGTTGTGTTAGTGATGGATACTATTTTTCTCTCAAAAATTTTCTTGTTTGTAATGTTGGTCAAATGTTTTTTTTTCTATATAGAAAAAAAACAAGGTCAATCAAATGGTGTTTATGTAAAAAGTGAGTGTACGCGACTAGAGTTTGTTCTATTACCACTGTAATCACATTTGTATGAATGCAACAAATCAACAAATCAACTGGTCAATCAAAACAAAACAAAAAAAAAATGACCGAATTAACAATATCCGAACCAGGATTCAAAGATGTTTGGCTACGAAAATTTCAAATTTTCATCAATAAATTCATATTCATTCTATGGACCGGTATATTAATCTATGCTGTTGGTCCATATTATTCCATACGTGAATTGTTTAGACATTTACAAATATTCGGTAAGTATGGTTTGATAATCATTCATTACATACATATATTTAGATTTGATTTTTTTCATCATTTCGAAATTTACATCATCAATCACAAAATGATATGATATATGATATTATTAGGTTTCAAAAAACTTGATTACAGTAAAGAATTTGGTGATATTGATTTACATGGAAAAATTTGTGTTATAACCGGCGGTACTCGTGGTATCGGTATGGAAGTATGTAGATATTTAGTTGGAAAAAATTGTCAAATCATTACGGCAACATCAACGTTGAAAGATGATGCCAACGATATGATGATTGAACAGGCGAAAAGAAAATTAATAACAAAAATCGATCCATCATTATTATCAAGTAATAACCGAAATCAAATTACTTTACTGCCATTGGATCTATCATCAATGGATTCGGTGGCAAAATTTGCAACAAAATCAAGATGAGATGTAATAAAATTGATTATTTGGTAATTGAGATTATTTCTACCATATAGTTAAGGATTATTAAAATTTTTTCTTTCAAAATTAATTTAGATATGCAATGGTGGTGTAATGTTTGTACCATTCAATATAACCAATGATCATTTTGAACAACATATGGCCATTAATTATTATGGTCATTGTTTATTGATTGCTAAATTATTACCATTATTATCATCAACAAATGAACAACAACAACAACAACAACAACCAGGACGTATTATAATGGTTTCATCTGGTGCACATCATGCTAGTTTTGGTATTCGTCTTCATGATCTAAATTCAATGAAATTATTTTCCATTTATCATTCATATTGTCAATCAAAATTATGTCAAATAATGTTTACTTATCAATTTAATCGTTGGCTACTATTGAATGATCAAAATGTAACAATAAATTGTCTTCATCCAGGAATGTGTCGTACTGGTCTAATGAATGCATTCAATTTTATTCGTTATATTTGGCTAATTCGAGAATCACCATTATTTCGTGTTAGTATTTTTGTTTTATTTTTTGAAATGAAAAATATTAATAAATTTTTTTCTACTCCAAAAAAAAAAAATCAAGTCTGCTGCTGATGGTGCCGAAACAATATTGTTTACAACATTATCACGAAAAATTGAAACAATAAGTGGTGAATATTTTGAAGATTGTCAACGGCAACGATCCAGTCAATTGTCATATGATTTATGGATGCAGAAACAACTTTGGCAACAAACATGGAATGATTTACGTACATGGCTTACAAATGATGAAATTGAAAAATTTTTTTGATTTCAGCAATTTGATTTTTTTTTCCACAAACAAACAAAAAAAAAAAACATTTCGGTTTTCATTAATTATTTTCGGTCCATTGATTTGATTTGTTTATTTACTTACTTACTTATTTATTTACTTACTAACAAACAAATCCAAGGCCTATTGGGCAAATCAAATAAACATTTTTTGATTGTTGATGTTGAAAATTGTAATCATTTTTTTTTCCTCACTTTGATCATTGACATTTTTATCATCATTGATGTTGTGGATGGTGATCGTTGTTGATCATCGGTTTTTGTTTGTTTGTTTGTTTGTTTCGAATGAAATTTCAAAATTTGAAAATTTAATTTAAAAAATCATTTATTATATTATGTATAGAAAATCACAGAAAAACAAAACAAAATCAGAATCCAAATGTTTATGTAAAATAAAAATATGTATTTAAAAATCATCACCAAAAATAATAGGTATTTCGTAAACGACGTAAAAAATATGCACGTTTTTCTCTGATTAATTCCCAAATTTTATTGGATAAATATTCAAGATTATAAACTTGTGCTAAACGATATATTTCAATCATCGATAGCCAACAATTTGTATCATCATTACTACTGGTGATATCGACATGTTGTCGTTGTTGTTGTTCAATGCCATTCACATTATAATAATCTTTCGGTATAATAATATCGGTAACAGCCAATTCGGTTGTAAAATTACGCAATTTTTGTACAAATTCATCTGAATATGTAAGTTCAAGATAATCAAAGAAATATTTACTACAAACAAGTACACAATCGAATAGAAAATCTAATGAATCTTGATCCGGTTGTCGTTGTTGTTGTTGTTGTTGGCTGCAAGTATCCATTTGTTGTTGTTGTTGTTGTTCAATATTATTATTATCATCAATAGCCGTGGCTAATAATCGATTCATTATCATACGGAATGCATCTTGATTTTCATTTTCAATAATTTCAATTTCATTCATATCGATTATAGCCGATGATGTGCACTGTTGTTGTTGTTGTTGTTGTTGTTCATTATCAATCGAATCATCTTTATCATCATTTTTATTATTATTATGATAAAATGAATTAGTGCATTAAAAAATTGGCTCGATTGACATAGAATATTACTTGGTACTGTGATATGTAAAACCAAATGAAAACAAAAAAAAAATCCAAGATCAATAAATAAATATTAAATGCATAGAAAAATCATATATCATAAATACCTTTATAATGATGATCACAAATTTTAACAACAACAAATGGTGGAATCATCATTTTTAATGGTAAAATTCTACGATGATAATAATTTTGATGATGATGATGATGATGATTATGGTGGCGATAATGATGATGATGATGATGATGATTATGTCTAATCCATCGATGACAATGATGATGATGATTATGATTTAAATTCATGTGACGATAATATTGTTGGCTATGATTATTACTACTATTGATGTTGTTATTGTAATGACGATAACGATGATGATGATGATGATGATTTGACGATGAACGAACCGTATTGTTGTTCGTCGTATCGTTTGTCGATGCCGATGTCGATGATGATGATGATGATGACATTGTATTGTTGATATTGGAAAATTTCATTATTGTCTATTTTATTATTACAAGGTGGTTATGGTGGTGGTGGTGGTTTTAATTTCTTGGTTGCAATTTTAAATAAGTGTATGAATACGAATATACGAATGATAATAAGGAAAAACGACGACGATAATAATAATAATTTCTCTTTCACATTCGTTTTTTTCTTTGATTTTCAAATTTGCTTATTTTAGACATATGTTATATACACACACACACACACATTTCCTCTATGTGTTCATTTTATAACCAAACAACCAACCACATGAACAATGAATAATAATAATCCTTTCGAATAGCAACAAACACAAAACAATTATGATTGATGAATATTCAACCAATATAAATATATATATTCGTATGTGGTACGTACTGGGCACAAGCGGGCGCTTTTTTTTTTTCATTGATAATCAAAATTTGGAAAGAGCACAAAAATGAAGGAAGGAATCGCGTATTCATTGGGAAAAAACGCTAATCAAACAACCGTCAATCAGTTAGCCAAGCATGCCATTTTAATTTCATTTTTTTTTTTCGTTTTCATTCATTCAAAATTCAATTCTCTTTCTCTCCATGGTGATGGTGGTGGTGGTGGTAGTAATGGTGGTATGGTTGGTGGCCATTTGTCAATCAATAATAGGGTTGGATTGCCGCTATGAACATCAAGACAAAATAAAGCAGCAGCAGAAGCAGCATTATAAAAAGATGGTTAAAACGAAAATGAAAATGTGCAAAAAAAAAAAAAAAATTTCAATGTCGCCTAAAACAGGAAAAAAAGCATGAGAAAGAAAAGAAAAAGATTGGCTTCAAGAACGACCACTTGTGTGTGTGTGCGTGTGAAAACCATCAACGACGACGACGACGACGACGACGATGGCATGAATCATGGAATGAAAATCGATACTTTAATGATAATGATGTACGCTTCATTTGATTTTTATATATTCATGATGATGGAAAAAAAAATTTTTTTTTCTTTGGATTCAATGTTTCAAAAACATATACACATAAACACGCACAGACATTTCATTATCATCATCATAATCTGGATCTATTAAAAATTAAAAAAAAACACGATATTTTTGGAATGATAATGACCACATATACTACAGATTGAACAGGGAATTTTGTTTGATTTTATCGATTATTATTGATTATATAGATTCGAATGTGATGCGATTTAAAAATTTCAAAATGATGTGATGATTATTTAAGCAAACCTAAAAATAGCATCACATATGATGATGATGATAATCAAACAGAAAAAAAAAATTTTCTTTGCAAACACAAAAAATTTTTTTTTTCATGTGTGTGCACTTCTTCTTCGTAAATGCGTTTTAAATCAGTGGGTAGTTAGTCCTTGGAATTTATATTTTTATTTTTCTTTTCTTATACCACTCAAAGCCACCATTATTTTTACTCCTCCTGTGTCAAATGTTTAATAATCACGTGGTTTCAATTTCATTTTTTTTCACATTTATTTACAAAAACTTTGATCCCACTAAACTGATGATTGAATTATTGATTTTTGATTTTTTTTTTTTGCTTATTTGATTTGGCAGTTTATTTATTTATTTGTCATCGAAAATAGTAGATTATGATGGATTGGATTGAAATTCGAGGATCGATTGAATTTTTTTTTTGAAACGGAATTCCATTCCAATCAATCAATTTCCAATAAACAAGGAATATCTGTTCAATTCCAAACGTTTTAAATTCATGAGTCATCATTGTTTCAAGAGAAAAAAAATAATAATTTTATTCAACAAAAAAAAGCAACAGTGGTGGAGAAAACAAAAATAAATCAAGAAAAAAAGAGAAACGATGATGTGTGTGTGTGTGTGTATGCAAAAGTGAAATAAAAAAAACGAAAAACAGAAACATTTAAAAGAAACACTACTACTTTGATATCACAGAGACATTGGCATTGAATCAAAGATCAAAATCAAAATTTTTTTCATTCATTTAATGATTCATATGCATCAATTTTTCCCCTCCATTCATCAATTCATATGATCGGATCCAATTGGAACAATTGATTTTGTCGTCGTCGTCGTCGTCGTAGTCGTTGTCGTCGATGACGTTGATGGTGATGATTTGGACAAAAATGATAAAGGCACAACATGTGGTGGTTTAAATACGCTATACGGTGAATAAGGCACACCTATTATAATTAAATGTGAACGATAATAATGTAGACGCCACATTCCATGATGATAGCCACGAGCATCTAGATCCCATATATGTAAACATTTAGCAATATGTAGCCATGTATCATAATCATGAACATGTATCATACGAATAAAGATTAAATAGATATTTGTCGTATCCATTATCATTGATTGTAATGTTGATGATTGATTTTGGCTATGATGGTTTTTACTTTTCATTACCAATGTATTATTGGTAGTGGTGGTTGTTGTTGTTGTTGTTGTTGTTTTAAGAAAATTTGAATCACAAGGACCTTTTCGATGATCAATAATTATAGCCATACGAATTAATCGATTAATAAGACGTTCATAGTTTTCTACTTTTAAACTGTGATGAACGTTAGTTTGTGAGAAAAAAAATTCAAATCAAATTGAAAATATCAGAATAAAAAATCATAATCGAAATATACTTACAGATCAACATTTTTAAGCAATACACTTGGATTTGTATTGAAAGCATGTTTTTTGAAATACATTTCTTGAAAATATGAATTCATATTCAGACCTGATGAACCAAAATGATATGTACGTGAAACATCTGGTACGATACATTCACGTCCACGGCGTATATCGGATAAACGCATCCACATATCCCAATCATATGATTTGTCCGGCGTAGGCCATCTAGGTTCTAATTCATTTTTATATAATTTACGTGTTAACATCCAACCTAAACCGGGCATTGTTTCGACACGATAAAGTAGGCTAGTATCACTTGATGTATGTTCATATGCTTGATCATTCCATGCTGATATACAGAATAATGTATCATCTTGATCAAGTAGATGCATTGTTTGTGCAAAATATTCGAAAAAATCTAATGAAACATCTAGATCTTCTTCCAAAATGATAGCATATTGTGCATCCGGATATAGATTGAATGTAGCCGTCAGGCTGGCCTTATAATGTTGTGTGATTCGTGAATTAGCATGGCCAATGGGTGTATGTTGAATACCACGCAGGCCAAATAATTTTGCCACTTCTAATGGTTCTTCATAATAACCATCGATATATATTGTGATCATTGATGGATTACAACCAGGTGTCAATAATAATGTTCGTAACATACGATAAAGATAATGTGGACGATTTGAAGCAATTATGGCGATTGGTACTTGTGATATTTTTGCCATCGGATCATAATTGGAAACAAAACGTAATGGTAATGGATCATTACAGCTACAAACCGATCCATAACCTTCAATACGTGAACAAAAATGTTTTCGTCGTTCTCGTGTTTCGTTATCATCGGGTAGGAAAACAAAATTCATCGATGATGATGATGATGATAAACTTTTGGCATTACTGTCAATCATCGAAATATCCACGGATTCAGTCGAAGATGATGATGGTAAAAAATTTCCAAAAAATTGATTAAAAAATGACAAAGGTGTTGTTGTCATTGTAGTCCATTGACAATCAACATAATCATCGCCAGTTGGATATAGCTCTAAATCAACATGAAGTATTGCTGGTGATGCCCAGGAATTAAAATCCATTGATTTTGAATAAGCTTCACCCAATAATGGATCCATACTAGTGGATTGTTGCCGTGTTAATAGTTGTTTCTGTATGACCATTGCCCACATATCACGCCAACCAATATCTTGTGCACGTTTTGATCCTAATCTAGTGAGAAAATCACGTGCAGTTTTTTTCAGCTGAAATGTACCCTCATCTTTGATGGCAAAAATCAATATACGTCCATCGGAAACCATACTGATAAACAATGACATTGCTTCATCTTCATGTGTGGAATATGTATCAAAATTACGTCTAGCCATTATTGATCCAGTATATTGATTCAGAACAAGAATATGTATGCCACGATTTTTTCCATCTTCAGAATCATCTAAAATCTTTAGTGAAAACAAATAAAAAAATAATTTTTCGAATCAAAATAACTAATCATGATACTTACAATAGTTCCATCTACGGTAACCATTGCACGATTTTGACTAGATAAAATATCCAATTTAATCATTCGTTGATTATTGTTGTTGTTGTTGTTGTTGCTGAAATCATTCGAATGACTACCAGATAATAATGAATTGATAATATGGCCATCTTTATCTAAAGAACAGAAAAAAATTTTGAAAATTCTGAGAAAAAAATTCAATGTTTTACCATCAATATTTGCCACCGATTCCTGCTGCAAACGATTCCAAGTTTCAATGATGAATACAATATTAATAATGACAGTGGCCATCAAAATAGCCAGAAATATAAACTAATTTTTTAAAAAAAATTGAGAATTTAAAAATGTAAAGAATGTAAAAACTATGATTCAACGAACCCGTATTGTTTTGATTAGAAAACGACGCATTGGAATTGATGATGGTACTATGAAACGCATACTGATTAGATTTGGCCACCATGATGATGATGATACTGGATGATAATAGCGATGATAACGATGACCATAACAGAATGTTTTACGTAAACGTTTTATCATATCAGTACCATCATCATCATCATCATCATTATCTTTAAATGAAGGTAGATGCTCTTCATCAATCATTTTTTTTTATCGATGATGATGATGATGATGTCAGCTGTCAAATGAAATCAAAAAAAAAAAAATTCAAATGTACACAATGGTCTTCAAAATATACGTTCAATGATCTTCATCATCATCATCATCATCATAATTATCATATGATGATATCATTACCATTAATTGATGATAATGGAAAAAAATCTGCACATGAAAAAAAAGAATAATAACTTGAAAAAAAAAATTATTTCCCAAAAATAAATGCATTCGGGAACTCGGAAAATAATCACAGAGCATGCGTTTTGTATATATATCAATGTACAAATGGAATATATTACCAAAGAATATATTCTACACACACACACACACACACATTGAGCTCACATGCGAAAATAAAACTGCAGAACACAACTGAGAAACCATATCAAAATTGATGCATTTTACCCATTAATAAATAGGTAAAATCAATCAGTCTGTACGTTCGTGTGTGTGTATGATCAACAGCTTCATTAGGCAAATTTTTTTTTTTCGTTCCTGGATCAATATGTCATTTTTGTTTCTCTAAATTTAATTCAAAAAAATCATTTATTTGATTTTCATTTTTTTTATTTTTCTATTCTTCATTGGTGCAATGTCCTCGAATCGATTGAACAAAAAAAAAAGGGAGAATCATCAAAAGTGTTGTGACAAGCATGGAATGTGTATGTGTGTGTGTGATGTTCGTCGCCAAAATGTCAATGGCATCATTTAAAAATGAAATTACAAGCAAAAAAAAAAATTGGAAATAATTAGAAGATAAAAAAAAATATTCAAACAATTTTTTTTTCTTCACAATTTCTTTCTAAACCACAAACATATATATTTGGTGGTGGTCAATAAACCATAAACAGGTTACGGTTGTGATGATGATCATGATCATGATGATGATAATGGACAAAAACATTACGGAACAACAAACGAGATTCATTTTATTTGTGAAATTTCCCTCCGTCCCCAAAAAAATCATTCAGAATTGTTTCTGGCATCATCATCATCATCGCCATTATTTTTTTTTTGTTTTTGTTTTATGATCATGATAACAGGAATAGCTGGTTCCGGATCTATCCGGAATTTCACAAAGTGAAATTTATTGTAGCTAAGGTATAAATCATTTAACTATATATAGCAAGAAAGAAAAGCATCGACCATCATTATCGAGTGAAAAAAAAAAATTTTTTTTTCAAACATAAAAAAAAGTTCATCAGCCAATGTCCTCATGTATACACAGGTAAAATTGGTGGAAAAAAATTTTTTCTACCTGACCAATGTACATTATCAAGTTCTGTATTTCGTTTTTTTTTCGTTTGCTTGCATTTTTTTTTGTTTATTTCAAAAAAAAAAAAAAAAATTTTGTTGTTGTTGTTGTTGTTGTTGTTTTTTAGTTGGAAATGCACCTGCAAAAAAAATGGAATGGAAAAATAGACACACACACACATACTAACCGTACGTGATGCACCAAGTCAAAAATTTTTTTTTGTTTACTGTTCTGGATGCTTCTAGAATTGAATTGAATGATATAAAGATGATGATGATGATGATGATGGCGATAATGATCAGCAATCACCAATCATCCATCCATCCATCCATTCATCGGTAAGACATTGGCAAGTCCATTGGTGGTGGTGGTGGTGGTGTGTGTGTGTGTGTTTGTGTGTGGTGGTCATTCAGGTTTTCCTCCATACCAAATTTTTTTTTTTTTTTGCGATTATTTATTATATATCCACCATCATTATTATTATACACAATGACAACGACCCTACGACGATACAACGTGAGTGTTTTATTTCTTCATTTCACTAAAGTTAAAAAATTTTTTTTTAGCAATATAAAAAAATATCTGGCACATAAGACAAACCTAAATAATGAAATGAAACAAAAATTTGACAATCAAAATTAGATATATGATATGATTCTTTTTTTCGAATCATTCATTCATTCAACAAGTATGATATGATCCGTCATAAAACATTCGATTTCAATGTTGATTTGATTTCGTTGGATAACCAAAAAAACAAAAAAAAAAAAAATGTGTAAATTTACACATCAAGTGCAATGATAATGAAAATTTTTTCTATTTATAAAAAATGCAAAACATTGTCAAGGCTAAGGCTATTATAAATTTATCACATAAACAAAAAACAAAACAAAACAAATGGCAATCAAAGATCAAAGATCATCATCATGAACATTATTATTATTCTTATCCATCCATAGATAACGTGTGTGTGTGTGTGTGTGTGTTGGTTTGCATGAAAAAGATATGGGACCAGATTTCACTTTAATTTAATTTTTTTTTTTTTTGGTTCCATTATATTTCATTGATGTGTCATGATAACGATTTTTTAAATGGAAATTATTCATAGGAAAAAAATAATTGATTGATTGATTGATTGATTTGATTGCAAATAAATAAAACAAAAAAAAAAAAACAATTCCATCGCTGATGACTTATCATCATCATCATTCATTCATTCATTATCTATAAACAACATACGATGTGGCTGTGTATATTTAGGTATTTGGGGACTAGAGAATTTTTTTGTTCAACAAGAAAACGAAAAAAAAAAAAAAATTCAAATACAAAATTTATGATGGCCACCATTTGCTATATCATCATCATCATCATCATCATCTTAAGCCATGTTCTTGTTGTTCTTGATTTAAACTCCTCCTTATTTAAGAAAAAAAAATGATCGGAATCTACTTACTTACTTCGTTACTATCTACTCCCTACCACCAACCAACCATCCAACCATCATCAAGGCCATAAATGATGATGAACGAAATGAAAAGAAAGAAACCAAAATAAAAACCAGACCAGATTAGATCATCATAGAAGTTGTTGTATTGATTCTCTTAGTGTTAAGTTTTATTCAAAGCATCATCATCATCACCATCATCATCATCATCCGTTTTTCGGTATATAAATAGAGATTCATTTTGCCAACTCTTTATATCACCAATTCATAATTGGTAGTGGTCTTTTTATTTGGATCTATCATTCATCATTATCATTGGTAACAATCTATCATCAAAATTTTAATCAATTTTATTATAATTATAACAAGAATTAAATAATTTCGAACTTGAAATTAATTCAATTTAGAAAATTCATTCGTCAACAATCACCATCCTCATTTTGCATTATAATTATAAATAAATAAATTGGTGATTTTTATTTATTAATTCATCCATCCATTTTTGTTTGCTGATTTCTGATTCTCAAATTCAACACGTTCTTCATCATCATCAGTATCCATAAAATATGAAGCCTGCCTATTGTTTTAGTGTTGTTGTTCTCATGATTGGTATTGCATTGGGTAAGTTCAATGATCATTTATATATACGGATATGACGTTAACACACACACATTTGTCAATTATTGCAAATTTAGCTGCACCAATTGCTGAACCAGATGATACGAATACCAAAATTTCTGAACCAAAAGATTCTTTAATGTCCGGATCAACATCGGTCGAAATTCAAGAAGGAAAACCAATTGTTAAACTTGAACAACGAAGTGATGTTATCATTCCCGATGCTGTTGATGATGAATCAAAAAAAAAAGTAGAAATTCCACCAGTAGAAATTGCACCAATAGAAAATGTTCCTAAAATTCCGGAAATAGCTGCTGTCAATCCAATTGTTCCGGCACAATCAATCGAAAATATTGTTGTTCCCGTTGTAGTAAGTAATATTGTTGGTGAACCGATTCAAGTGGATAGAATCTCGGAAACATCAGCCGATTCATCAGTGAAAGCAGAAGCTGTTATACCAGAAAAACCAGTTGAACAACCGGCTTCGGTAATCAAAGAAGAAATTGTACCAAAAGTTGAAAAAGTTGAATCAATTCCAGTCCAGCCTATTGTACCGGAAATCGTCAAACCAGCCGAACCTGTTGTAGAGGAATCAAAATCTGTTCCAGTTGAAGAACCAGCATCGATAGTAAGTGAACCAAAAGTGGAATCAATACAGCCAATTCCAATTGAATCCGATAAACCAGCCGAAATTGCTCCACAACCAGTTGTTGTATCCGATAAAGTGATTGAATCAAGAAGTTTGAAAGAAATTGATGCTCCAGCAGCATCAGCAGTACCAGTCGAAGCTCAATCAATCATACCGGAAATGGTTGAATCAGCTCCAATACCCGTTGAATCTGTACCGATTATATCGGCAATTGAATCTCAACCAATTATACCGGATAAAGTGGAAACCGTACCAGTTCCAGTGGAAAAATCCGTTGAAGTACAACCAAGCGAAGCAGAAAAAATTGAAAGTCCAGTTACAATTTCAGCCGAACGATCAATTGAATCTCAACCAGTGGTAGCAGATATTGCCGAAACTCCAGTATCAGATGAAAAATCAGTCGAAATTCAACCGGTTGTTCCGGAAAAAATTGAAACACCAGTCGAATCTCAGCCCGTAATTGCCGAAAAAGTCGAAAGTCCAATTCCAGTTTCATCAGTCCAAGACGAAATATCGGTCGAATCGCAACCAATTCCAGTTCCATCAGTTCCGGTTGAAACACCAGTCGAATCTCAACCAATTGTACCGGAAAAAATTGATAACCAAATTCCAGTTGCTTCAATCGCATCGGAAATTCCAGTCGAACAACCAGTAATCACTGATAAAGTTGTCGATGCTCCAGTTCAAAGTGTACCAACAATTGTTGTTTCCGAATCGCAAGGAAATATTGTCACGCCGATTGTTGATCCCGTACAAAATGATGTTAAACCGATAGCAGAAATTCCTTTGATTCAAGAAACATCAATTGTTGCTGAACCAAAACCAGTGGTTATCATACCACAAGAACCATTGGTTGTATCGCCAGTAGTAGTAGTACCGGAACAATCCGAGAATACAATCGTCAATATTGTAGCTAAACCAATGGAAATTGCACCCGAACCAATGATTGAATCAGTAAAACCGGCACTATCAACAGCGGTTGATAATGAAACATCAATCAAATCAGATGAACCGATGATTATCGTTGAACCAAATCAAATTTAATTTTTTTTATTTTCCTTTTCAAAAAAAACTCTTTTACACAAAACCATTTACAATATTATATTTTCTCAATTCTCAATTCTTGTTTCAATCCAAACACACACCACCACCACCTAGAACACGAATTTCATCATTGTAAATCCATATATAATATACATGCAATTTTTTTTTGATAATTTTTGAACAAAAATTCTTTGTGCCACCACCACCACCAACACTCCAACACTTACCACAATGGCGGGAACTTTTGAACCAAATAAAAAAAATGGTTACCAAATGGTTAATAATAATAAAGAAAAAGAAGAAAAAAACACTGTTCTATTCACAAAATGGGAATAATTTGTTTTTTTGCAGGTAAATAAAAAAATCGAATAAAAAAATCTTTTTTGTTTGTTTGTTCACATTCAATAACACTGCCATCTAGTGATTTCGATTGAATCGAAAATTTATTCCGAATTTTGGTACTATTGCTATCCCATTTGAAAATTTAAAACGAAAATTTGTACGTTTTGACTGGTCTGATGAATGCAATTCTGCATTTGAGCAGCTACGTGCTGGAATTTCTTCAACTTCTTTGTTAAAACCACCGATACCAGGTCAAACTCAAATAGTGCGTTGTGACGCCAGTGAAGTTGGCATGGGGGCCGTACTCTTACAAAATGATCCTAATGATAACAATGAACGAATCATTGAGTACGCGTCAAAAGCTTTTTCTGATACTCAGAAAAAATACAGTACGATCGAAAAGGAAGCAACTAGTATTATGTGGTCGATTCAGCAGTGGCATCATTTTTTGATTGGAAAGAAATTTGTACTGGAAACTGATCATAAACCATTGGTTTGGTTACAATCAAAAAAAATCTTACGAATAAATTGGGTCGTATGTCATTGAAACTCCAAGAATACGATTTCGATATTAAGCATATTGATGGTAGAGCTAATGTCGTGGCCGATGCTTTGTCAAGAATTAACTGGTCTGTTGAGCAGAAAAAAGATCAATTGTTAAATGAATGTGTAACCTTGCAAGTTTAAAATTAATTTTTCAAACAACATTTGTATATCTAAGATAAATCCGTTTTCGATTGAAGATTTTTAATGAATTACAACGAAAATTTGCAGTACATAAAATAGATCGTCAATGCTTTCTCGGTATTGAATTTATCCGAAATCGACAAAATCGTACAATTCTCCTTCATCAAGAGATATATTTATTAAATAAATTAAAAACATTCAACATGGCCGAAACTCGACCAACGAAAACATCGTTTGCGAAATAAACGTTTGACAGATTGAACTGACAAATGATCCATATGATGAAAATTCTACCAATCAATTACCATAAGGGAAGATTTTCCAATATCGAGAAGCTGTTGGTGCTCTCCTTTATCTTTCATGACAAAACTCGTCCCTCGTCTACTGGACAACAATCGAATAATTCATCATCGAATAGTTCATGGTTATCATCATCATCATCAACAACAACAACATCAACATCAACAAGTCGTTCACCATCGATTGTATTGAATCAGAATCCTGGTGAAGCTAAAATTGTTCCATCATCACCAATACCGATTGTGTCTAACGAATCTGATGACTGGACAGTAAATTTTGATGAAAACGAACTCGATGTTGAAAAAGAAAATAAATTTTATTGAACAAAAGAAAGAGTATCATTGGGTAACATTGATGAATCGGCCGTGTTGTTAAAGTTTATTTGTTTTTACCCGATGAGTGTTTAACCTTGATATTGTAATACCGCTTAAATGGGGGTTACGTTCCAAAAATTTGAGCGTTAAGCGAAACAGCGCTAAAGAGCTATCATTACATAATGCATTGACCCTTCATATACAATGTAACCGTGTAATGCAATGTAGGTAATTGTACAGTTTATATCGAATGAGCGCTTAACGGGGCAGCGTTAAGCGGGGTATTGCTATATGTATTTGATTTTATATATAAATGAAATGCTCAATAAAATTAATAAGGCTTTTTGTTTGATATTTTAAAAACAATCGCTTCATGTGGTAGCAGAGCGTGGTTGATCGTTTTCTTTCACCCCTCTGGCTAATCGTTTTATTTTTTCATTTGTTTATTATTGAAAAAATGTCATATATTTGTGTTTGTCATGGCAAAGCCATCTTCAACCAGCGGTAATGACATGGACTCAACCATGAAGAAATTTATGGAAATGTTCGTATCTATGAATTCTTCACGATCATCATCCGAGTCCAACATGGGACTGGAAACGTATGCATTCAGTCAAGTGACCAAATATGATGGTGCCAATATTAAAGAATGGTCATCCTCGGTACGATCAGCATTTCTTACGTGTGGAAAGGAACATTTCCTGCGTAGTGAACTTCCGACTGGCCATCCCGAATACTCTCTTTATCAGAGGTACTTTGGTCTAATGAAATTTACATTTCAACCAAAGGTTCGGGACCATGTTGAACATCTGAAAACGGTGTTTCAACTATGGGATTATATGACTCGTTTCGAGAAAGATAATCGGGCTACAGCGGTAAGAAAATATATCAAGCTGGTTGGTACAAAGTATGAAGGTGGCGAACTTCGTCTTTGGCTTGAACAATTGACAGCTCGTTTTGAAGATGTCGAATCGGAGTGGCTACAAAACACTGAGAATTCTCGGTGCACTATCATCATCAGTATGTTACCACGACCAAAGTTCGAACGTCTGGCAGACAGACTGACGTCCAGAGATTCGTTGACAATGAAGGACATAATGAACGCATTCATCGAGGAGGACGAAAAAATGAAAACTGTTTCATCGAAACATGTGAGTAATCAGTCTGTCAATGTCATAAAGAAAAAATTCAATAAGAAATCATCATCATCAAAACGTAATGATGTGAAGTGTGATTACTGCAAAAGAAATGGTCATACTATTGATGATTGTCATAAACGTTACTGGGATGAACATCATAAATCATCCATATCATCGTCATCTAGCCAATCAAATTCGAAACCATCGACATCATCGTCTTCAGCATCATCAAAGTCATCGAACGCCGCATCTACCAGCAAACATTCGGTTAAGTCCGTTATTCTTAAAAATGTTTGTAACACAAAAAGTGATTCATGGATCCTGGATTCAGGATCGACAACACATGTGACATTCAACGAATCGGTGCTGGTTAACGCCAAGTCCAAACGGTGTGAGTTTGAGGCCGCTGGCGGAGAACCAATTATTTCAACAAAGATAGGTGATACTGTGATTCATCCAAATGACAATCAACTTATGCTAAAAAATGTTGTATGTGGTGATTGATTTTACTTGGCCGAGATGCAAAACGAAGACGGAACGTTGAATATAAAATTCAATGCAGAGTCTGATATCATAAAATGGGAAGTACGATCGCGGCATCTCAATCAAAAAACATACAAATGCTATATTCAATATTCTCCGAATAGCAATGACATATCTGGTATCACTGGTTATTGCTGCACGTGTGCCAATGGTAATCGGACCGTTGGTTGTTGCTCTCATGTCGCAGCAATCATTTATCATCTCACTCATGGGCGATATTTGTCAAGAATATATCGACCAGCCGAATCATTGACGAATCTTTTTGATCACAACGAGGGTACGACAGTAATAGAAGACGATAGTGACCTGGATTAGCCATTATATTAAGTTGTATATTTTCTTTCCTTTTCCTGTTCATTTTCATCATTGATTTTTTTGTAATAAATAGATAAATCATTCTTTAATCTTGTTTAAAAAATATATTTAAAAATAAAGATATACTATCGGTTGTTCTGTAGTATATCATTCATAATGAATGATATACTATATGATGGCGTGTACACGGCTGTTCAGGAAACGGAACAGCTATCTTGGTCGATTTTTTGGTGGTTTTTGGGTTGGAAAACCACTTTGCACAACTTTGATTTTTATCAAAACTTCAGAATTGAGAGAAAAATGGAATAGTTTTTAAAAAATGTCAATTTTGTAATACCTCTTCGCTGTTAGGAGTGACAATTTTTTGCCCTTTGACCTCTAGAGACTAGAGGTATCAAGTTCATATGACATGATTCTTGTACCTTGTGGTGCGACGTAACCCATTTTCAAAAAAAAAAAAAATGAAGGTAATCTAATGGTTGTTCCACACACAAAACACACACACACACACACAATTATTCTTATTTCAGGTTATGTTATGTTATGGCAATAGAGTTACCAAAGAGACATTGACAATATGATGAGAAAAATTGAGCAATATTCATTTATGTAGCCATGGTTACCAAGACGACGACGACGATGGCGACGACTACCACAAACCATAAAAAAAATGATCATGATCATCATGATCATTAAGTTGATGGACGAGCAGAACAAGAGGAAATTATTTTCATTATATACTGATCATTATTCTATCCATTATTATTCTACGTACCTGTCATTGAAAAACAAAAAAAAAAAATTGGTCAATAGAATGATGAAAATGAATACTTTTCTTGTATTACACACATGAAGAAAAAGAAACAAAGAAAGCAAGAAAGAAATAAAGAAAGTAACGATGGATGGAATTTGCATTTTTTTATATAAAATTAGCCAAAAAAAAAAAACAAAAATCCCTTTTCACTATGGCTGCTAATCATCATTATCATCATCATCATGGATTTCAAGAAAAAAAAATCATTTATACATGTCCTCGACAAATAAAATCTCCGATAAATTGAAATTAAAAAAAAAGGATCAAAGGCGTTGTCAACATTCAAAAAAACATTCTATCTTTGTATTCAGCGATGATGATGATTCATTTATATATGGGACTTGTAAAGTTATAATTCTGTTTCAAAAAAAAAAAAACAAAACAAAATCAACAAGCTACAAATAAAAATCCATATCATCATAATTATCATTTCCATGGTGATTTTTTTTTCTGTTTTTTGTTTTTCTATAGAAAAAAAAGATATTACACAACACCATTTTTTGACAATTGAGAATTTTGTTGTACAAGAAAAAAAAATTTGACAACAAACAACAATAATCGTTGTGGTTGTTGTTAACAATTGTCATTTGGCTATAGATTGTTTTGTGGTGATTGCGTGTCATAATCACTCTATATATAATATATATAATATACAGGGAGACTGGAACTATAATTTAATATAAGCAAATTTTTTTATAAAATAATAAAATTAACATAACATCCATTAAAAGTAATTCTAAATATTTATATCTAGTGATAAAGAATATTTGTCCACAATTCAATCCAAATAGATTATTAGTCATTGTCTGTATGAATAGATTGGATTTGATCACATCTCTTAATATGATCCTTGCATTGAAATGTTTCAGTTTTGTCCATGATGATGATGACGATTCTTGCAGTAGTCGTTGCTGCTGTCGAGTACAGAATCGTTGCCAATATGTTCGTGCATTCCAATTCATAATTAGTTGGCTATAACGTTGATTATAAAATGGTAAAGATGACACGTGTGAATAAATAACTTTGATATATGCAAATGCTGATCCTAGCCATAGGATGACAAATGTATTATGAAGATTTATACGCAATTGTTTACTAACGAATACGGTACAATCAATAATTGCTGATTTTGCAGCCATTTCCATTGCTACAAGTACAATTCTTATTGTATCATCAAATTTCCATGTGTCCAAATACAATGCCAAATATTGCCGATGAAAACTTTGCCAAAATAATCTGTGATTTATTGAATTGTTAAAATCCATTTTGTTTCGATTACAACGAAACAAAATTTGTGTTGTTTGAAACATTTTTATAAATTGTATTCGCCAAAATTCAACGATAAATAATAAAAATTTCATAACCAAAAATAATTGTCCAAGCAGATATAATAATCGAAACAATAACATTGTCCACAGTTGAAGAAATAAAAGCCATTGAAATGTATTCCATTTACCATCTAAATATAAATAGCCAACATGAATCATGAATAATGCGTAACCAGATAATATTGTCAATACCGTTAAACGATAAAATAATGTCGATATTGAATGAATAATTTGATAAAATAAAGTCAAATAGTGACGCAATCGTCGTTCCAATAGATTATCATTATAATTATAATATTTGATAAACAAATCATTCAATGGAAAATTATAGGAAAAAATTTTTTTGAACAATTCAAACCATAGATATTCTAATAACATAAAAACAACAAGTAAATGTACGATTGTAATATCTAATCGTTGAATATTAAACATTTCTTCAAGATCTTCAAATGATAACGGCAAACCGATTATGGATTTTGGTCGTCGAATAGCAGTTAACATTATGGAGGTTATAATCGTTGAATAAGTCGTTATCCAAATACTTGGTTTGATTGTTCGATAACATGTCCATCGTATACATCGTCGTTGATAATCCAATAATGAATATTCTAAACGTAATAGATAATATTTCATACATTTGAAACAATTGTTTATAACATCACTAATGTGGATGATATTCTCAGTTGAAAAATTCTTCATACTGCTTCCACTAATACCAATCATTCGTGTTTCATTTTATTCTATAATACAGCATGTTAAATTGTCAAATATAACCAAATAACTTTTAATAATGATACATCATTAATGAAGTGAAAACTAAGTTTCAGAATAAAAAATACAGAAAAAGTTGAAAAATGACATTTTTGTTTCCCATAAATTACGACCATTCATTACCGGGTAAAAAAAATTGACAAAAGCAAAATTTTATTCTTACAGAATTCAATTATAATCATCGTTGCTATGTGTGATATACATTTTTATCATTATCATCATATTTCATGGTAAAAAATGAAGAAATGAAATGAATGTCGAAGACGAAAAGTTCGTTTTTCGTTTTTTCACCAATCATTTTATTGATCATCATCATCATCATCATTTTTTTTTTGTTCTTGAATACAAATAAATAATTCAAAATAGGTGTTGACCCGATTAAGAATTTCGAGTTCAAAATTGTCATTTACTTCATCCATTCATTCATTCATTCATTCATTGTGTGGCAAGACATGTTCTTGTTCTTTTTTTTTTCATTTTATGTTTGTCTGTATTTTTTTTCTGCTCTAGACACAAGAAAAAACATTTTATGATTTGAAATTCAAAAGGAAAAAAAATCAATTCAAAAAAATGGTCTATCATTTCATTGGAATGAAATGAAATGAAATGGAATGAACCGAATATTATAATTTGTTCTTCTTATTATCATTGCTGCCCGGTTATTGCATCAATCAACAACAAGGTTTTTTTTCCTTTTCTTCTTCTTCTTGAAAAAAAGGGCGACGGCCATTAAAAAAAAAAAAAAAGATCATCAAATAAACGAAAACGAACGAACTAAAATGATGTCAATGGCATGGCATTTTTTTCTGCTGCTGCTGCTGCTGCTGATGGAATGAGAACGGAAAAAAACCAAATTTGAATATATATATTGATCCATTCATCGATGATTACGAATCAAGTTGATTATATTACAAGTAAATAGTCAAATCAAATCAAATCATTTTTTATTGGTCGATCGAATATGAATTGAACATATTGTAATGTCTAATGATATCGATATGTGATCATCAAATGATTATTGATGCCTGCCGGTGGTGGTGGTGGTGGTGTTAATAATCGGACAAACCAAAAAAAAAAAAAAAATGATATCCGGATGATTGGTAAAATAAACAAAAACAGACAAGAAAAATCTGAATTATTATTTAACCATTGGGGGCTATGACCTCGGGAAATGAAATTTATTTATTATTATTATTATTATTATTATATAGCAACGATCAAATAACGCCCAATCATCAAATTATCGGCCAACTAATGGATCGAATCACCGCTTTTGGAACACAGGTAAAACACAATTACCGTTAATAAACGATGAATGATGAATATAGAAATGGGAATTGTTTTTTTTTTTTTTTGCTTTGTTTTCTTTTTCATTCTCACCAAAAAAAAAAAAGCTCGATGAACCCAACAAATGATATATGATTTTTATTATTCCCAACCACACAATTGTTTTAAATCTCCATATGGTTTCACATTACATAGACATGCGCATTAGCAATGTTTAACAAATAGCATCCATATCCAACAACATTTTATATATTTGGCTGCTACTGCTGCTGCTGCTGCTGCTAAAACATCTCTATATATACAAATCATTCGCAATCATTGTGTGTTCTTTGTGAATTTTTTATTATATTCTGATGATGATACCAACACACAATGGTAAGTAAGTGAAGACAAAATCTACGAAACAACAACAACAACAACAACAAGATAAATGCAATGCTACTGCTGTTGTTGTTGTTGTTGTTATTGCAGAAGAAGAAATCGACAAATTAGAAGAGACCATATATATTCATTATTATTATTATTATGAACACACAATAATAATTTCCATTTTCATTGTAACTTTGTCTATTTTTTTTGTGTGATTGCTACTCCAACAGCCGATATATTTTTTTTTCTGGCCTTTGTTTTGTGAAAAAAAACAAACAAACACCAAAGCAAATCAAAGTCATTGTTTGTTTGTTGTTGGATTCACAACTACGACGACGACGATGACGACAACGATGTAATGATGATGATGATGATGATCTTATGGATCCAACAACGAAATATTTAGCAACAAAAATGGTAAACGAATGAATGAATGAATGAATGAATGTTTTGTGATTGTGTGTGTGTGAGTGAGAAATGATCGTATAAAAAAATGACGACGAGAAAGAGAAAAATCACTTGATGTGTATGTTGTTGTTGTTGTTGTCGTCTATATTGGACAAGTTTTTTTTTTGATTTTTTTTCTCAATTGCTCGCACGTCGTTTGTTGTTGTATACAACGACGACGACTACGACGACGACGACGATGAAACATGAATCCAACATTCAGAAACACACACACACACACACAGTGAATATATCATCATCATCATCATCGATATATTGCAAGAGAGTCTAAACACAAGATACACACACACATTCACCATTGATGATCATCATTGAACGATGATGATGATAATGATTGGGAAAAAAAATTGATCAATCGAATCAAAACGAAAAACGCACACCATTTACCAGTGTGATCATTCAAGTGTATGATTAGTTTCGGATTTTTTTCTTCTTATCATCATTAATCGGTTATATCGTTTCTCACCACCACCACCATCATCATCATGATTATGTTAACCACCAAATCTACTTGAAAAAATCAATTTTCCATATGGTCTTGCCTTGAAACAACTCTGTGTACCAAAAAAAAATGAAAATCAATCAATTTTTAAACTTGAAAATAGAACCAATTTATCCGTGAATTTGAAATGTCCGAAAAAAAACCACCAATAAAACTACAACAAAATGATGGTCAAAAACAAAAACAAAACACGTCAATCATCCATAATCATCACGATCATCATCATTGAATAGAATGATCATTACCGCCACCGCCACCACCATCATGGTATCAAATTAAAAAATCCTTTTTGTTTTCCACTCATCAACCTTTGTGTATGTGGTACATTAAATAACCGAAACACGATCACAATTTTTATTAGTACACAAAAACAAAAACGGAAAACAAAAAACAAACAAACAAAAATAAAAATAAAACCCGACCCAATTATTATTATGTAACAGCAAAAAAAAAATTTCACTTTCAAAAAAAAAAAAACAAAGGAACAAGGAAAAGAAATTATCATCATTTAATTTTATTTCATTATCGTCATCGACGTTGTCGTCGTGGTCGTTTCAGCCCCGTAATGCAAATATGATTATCATCATAATCTAAAGCCAAACATGTGTGTGTGTGTGTGTGTTATTGTTTTGTTTATCATTTGTATAGTGTAACACTCTAATAATTTTCATTGAAAAAAAACAAAAACTTTTGTGTGTGTGTGTGTGTGTGGGTTGTTGATTGTGTTTAATTGTGTTTGAAAACAAAATAACAACAACAACAACAAACAAACAAACAAATATGCCTACATTAATTGGTCGTTTTAATGAATTATTACATAATCTTTCATCCTCATCGTCCAATTCACATCCATCTGTACAAACAACAACAACAACAAGACAACATCATCATCCACCATCAAGATCAAGTTCAAATCGTATTGTATCCACTGGTGGTAATTCATCATCATCATCAAGACAAGTTGTAAAACGATCTAGTTCAAGCCGTCCACAACAACAATACAATAACAAACCAACAACAACAGTGAATAGTACAAATCATCATCATCATCATCATCATCATCATCATAATCGTCGTCATGGTTCTTTGGTTACGGGTAACAATAATAATAAATCTTTTGAAAAAGATCAAAATCATATGATGATCATCACCGGTAATCGACATAGAGCTAGTTCTTGTATCAATAATCGTCATCAATATCAACAACAACAACAACAAGCAAACCAACAACAACAACAACAACATCTAAGTCAACAACATTCTTTATCGAAAACAACAACAAAACCAAAATCATCTTCTCGTGAATCAAATTCGAATTCTAATGGTGGTGTTAGTGGTGCTAGTAGCCAACAAAAACAACAAAAATCCCGTCATCAACGAAGACATTCGATTTCTAGTATCACTAGTATGTCTAATACGAATAATTCACAAAATCAACAAAATTCAGCATCATCATCATCGAATAGCCAAAATAATCATAGTTCAATAACGATGATCACAAATAATAATCGTAAAGATTCCAATCGAATGGAAAAGAATAATAACAATAATTGTTGTGATAAATCATGCGCTAGCAAACCACCATTAATAATAAACTCAATTAATAATAATAATCATGATGTTGATGAATCATTGACAAGCATGTTGGTACGTAAAATGAAAATCGGTGCCATTACAAGACGAAATCATCATCATCATAATGGTAATAATCAACAAACGACAGAAATTTTTCATAAAAAAATTTCCAAAATTACTAAAAAAGATGTTGAAGAATCATATGATTTAACAGATGGTGAAACAAAAGGCTGTTTTATTAATCGTTATTTAGATGGGTATGTGTAATATTAATATGATGATTTTCAATCAATCAATTAATTTGTCTAATATTTATTGTTTTTCTAGCCATTTAATTAAAAATCATCCAGACATAATATCAGGAAAAACATGTTATGATATGCCTGTAAAAGAGATTGAATTATTGGAAACAAATATTGTTGCAGCATTTACTGGACCAAATGATGGTCTACGAACAATAAATTCATCAACAAAACCATTCGATGTGCCATTAGATGATGGTATTGATTTTATTGATGAAGATTATCCAGATTCATCACTTTCATCAAATGGTGCTTGTTCTGATCATAATAATCATTCATCACCACAAAATTCGGCCAAATTATCGACCACTTCATCGATGTTATCATCAACTGGTGATGTTATGACATTTTCCGATCAATCAGATCAACGGAATAAATCATCACCATCATCATCGACAGCAACAACAACAACAACAACGACAAATAATCATGAAACAATAACAATTGAACCTGTTGCTGGTGTTAATAATTGGAATCGGTTCGATGATTTTGCATATGGTATATCGACAACATTATATGAATCACACCCAACAACAAAACAAAGAGCAGGTTTGATTCCATCATAAATCACAAATCATTACAAATTTTCTAAAGCAAAAAAAAAAAAAAAAAAATTACAGGTGATCCAATTGCCGATTCATTTGCAATATGTGTACGTGAAAATAGTGCTATACTAGCATTAGCCGATGGTGTAAATTGGGGCGATAAAGCATGTCTAGCATCAAGATGTGCCATACATGGATGTATTGATTATCTGAATAAAGCTTTGTATTCAGCTGCCACTGATTCTACTCGATCTCGAAACACTATGGTTAGTTTTTTTTCAATGAATAAATTGCTGCCGATAAAATATCTAATGGTTTTTTTTCCCAGGACATATTTATTGCTCTATTACGTTCATTCAATGCAGCACATAATATGATATTGGCAAAAGGTGGCCATTTAACTACACTTTGTGCAGGTAAAAAAAAATGAAAGCAACAATTGTCTTTATGATGAATCAACCATGTGATTTTCATTCTTGAAATTTTTTTTTTTTTGTTTCATTTCGTTTTGGGCCAACACAACACACATGCACAGCTGTAATATGTCAATTGAAAGATTCGGATCGTTTTATCGTATGTACATGCAATGTTGGCGATAGTTTAGCATACGTTTATAGCCAAAAATATGGTGTTCGAGAAATAACTCAAGGTAATTCACACTGGTTTCAATTTGAATTTTTTTTCATTCATTTTTTTTTAAATAGGATCACACGATATATTTTCAATGCGTGATATGAGAGATGCATTAGGTGCATTAGGACCAGTATCTGGTTCTGAACCTGAACTAAATAATCTAACCGTTGCAATGACCATTGTAGATGTGGATGATATTGTTTTCTTAACATCCGATGGTATATCGGATAATTTTGATCCTGTTGTTGGAAAATTTGCAATACCAAAAAAAGATTTACAAAAAAATTGCGATCCAATGACAATGATGATGATGATGATGAATGATGATAATCATATGAACAATAACAACAACAACAACAACAACAATTTATTATTGGCCGATAAATCAAGACAGATGAAAAATAACAATAACAACAATGAATCAAATTGTGAAAAAACCACTAAACGTATGAAAGGCAAGTCTTTGAATTGAATTGAATTTTGTTATTATTACGATAAAACTAATCCACTATTGATTTATTTTTATTTTTTCATTCTGTTTAACAGTACGAAAAATTGTACAACGATCAAATAGTAATCCAGAAAAAAGTAGTGCACGATATTTAAATTATACATCAAAAGGTTTACCACTTGTATCGGCACAACAACGTCATGAATTAACATTACTTCGTATGGAAGATCTCATTATGAATGGTGTGAATGGAATTTCATCATTCAACAACAACAATAATAATGATGATGGTGATGTACAACATGAACATTCATCGAACCATGATTATAATAAAAATAACAACAACAATCAAATAAATGCCAAAGATTTATGTTTATTGATGGTTGATTTCTCAACCAAATTAACAATGGCAAAACGAAGAATTCTTGAAGATCCGGAATTATATTCAGATGATGATAATGGTAACAATGGTAATGGAAATAATAATAATAATAATAATAATAACGATAATGATGATGATGACGATGTATTTGATAAACAACGAAGACGAAGACGTATGGTTGGACAAAAATTGGCACAATTACCTGGAAAATTGGATCATGCATCAATTGCTGCCATACAAGTTGGATTCTATGGTTCATTACAAAATAATAATAAAAAATCACATATCTATTCAACGAACAACAACAACAACAATGTGAAAACAATGAACAGAGAATTCAATACAAACAAGCGGCATTCCATGGAAGATCGTTATAATCTTAAATTAAAGGCAACATTGGCCAGATTTGAATCACAAGATTCACTTGAAAGCATTAATGAGGCTGGTCCTATTTAGAAAAAAAAAAATCTAGAAATTTTTTCAATTTTCATAAACAAAGAAAAAAATCTAGAAATTCATTTTGGAATTCTTTTTTTATATATAAAAAAACGACACATTTATCAATTTATCAATTTTCTAATTACCAATATCTCGAAACATGTCCGGTGATGATTTTTTTTTCTTACTATGATTCTCTATGTTTTCAATTGTGACTACCACCACTACCTGTGTGTGTGTGTTTTTTAAACATATTTTAGACACACAATTTTACCTTGCAAACAAAACAAACAAAAAAAAATTGACAAATTAAAATGAAAATTTAAAATATAAAAAAATAAAAATAAAATCTTTAATCATTTTAAAATTTATATATTATTATTAATTATTATTATACAAATTAATGAACAGATTCATTTTACACACCCATCATCATCATCATCATCCCACCACCACCACTAACACCACCACCAAGATCGGGATTCTGGTATTTCAGGTTTGCTAAACATTCAAATGATGCGTTAAATAAATCGGTTACATTGACAACGACGACTAATGACAAAAAGAAAAATATAAAGTGTCATTATTGCAATAGATTGGGCCACATTAAAAAGAAATGTTACAAGTTTATTAATGAAAAGAAAAATGGCAATAACAATAACAACAATAATGGCAATTCCAACAATAATAATAATAACGATGGTAATACAAGATCAAAGTTTGTTACGGGAAATGCTGTTTTGACTATTGCAAAAGAATCTGATATGATGATTACTGATCGATTCTATGCTGATTCTGGTGCATCATCGCATGTCGTTAATAAACGTGAGTGGCTCATCAATTTCCGTTCTTGTAATGAATCATTTAAAACTGCTGGTGGTCAAATTAAAATCGTTGGATATGGTGATCTTGATTGTCAATTGCATACTGGTTCTGTATGGCACGAGATGTTATCTCGAAACATGTCCGGTGATTTTTTTTTTCTTACTATGATTCTCTATGTTTTCAATTGTGACTACCACCACTACCTGTGTGTGTGTGTGTGTTTTTTTTAAAACATATTTTAGACACACAATTTTACCTTGCAAACAAAACAAAAAAAAATTGACAAATTAAAATGAAAATTTAAAATCTAATTATTACGTGGGTGTGTTTTTTTTATATATATAAAAAAATAAAAATAAAATCTTTAATCATTTTAAAATTTATATATTATTATTAATTATTATACAAATTAATGAACAGATTCATTTTACACACCCATCATCATCATCATCATCCACCACCACCACCACTACCACCACCACCAACAACAACAACAGAAAGTAAAAAAAAACAATTGAAATCACTGGGCATTTTCGTGCATAATATGTGCAAGGCGTTGATTGATTGATTGATTGATCGATTGAATGAATGAATGAATGATTGGTTGGTTGGTTGATTTATTTACAAATGGATTCTGGAAAACAATTCTTGATCAATCATTGCTATTTTTTCATTATTGTTGTTATTATTTGAGAGAAAAAATTTTTGTTTTTTGAAGTAGATAAGCTGCTGCTATAATTTAGGTTTAACCTCTTCAGCAATACCGCCCCATTTTAATTTATATGTTCCTGTACGCCATCGTATATCTGGTTCCCATAAAGCTCTTGTGAATAAAACTAATGCAAATAATTCACGTAGAAGCCATGCAATGACGAAATCAATTTTACTAAATGATAATGTTGAATTCTAAAATATTCAAAAAAAAAAAAACACCAAAATTAATATTGAAAATCTAATGATAAAAAAAATATTGATACATTTACCTGAATGATTGATAAAAGTGTATAGTCTAATAGAAACCATAATAAAATATGAAACAAATATATGGCAAATGGATCGATCTGTATTAGATAGCTAATGGCCCATGATGCCATTGCACCTAATACAAAACATTCCGATAATGGTTCCAACAATATCATATGTGGTATCATGGCTATCCTTAATTTGGCCCATCTAAATTATTACGATTGATTGATTAAATTTAAATCAATTAATATTGAAAATACGGATATTTAAATTAATCAAAAGAAAAAAAAACAGACCTTGTAATACGTTTCTGGAACGTTTCAATATCAGATGTATATGAATTTTGCCATGCTGGCTGTGTACTAATTTTCAATTTATAGCCTCTATATCATCATCATTATTGAGGAAATGAACAATTAATTCAAAAAAAAATTTCCGGAAATCATTCATTTATCACGTACCTATCAGTGAATGATTTTGCAAAGAAAAAATCTTCAGCTAAATATTGGCCAAATGCTGCAATACCACCCACTTGTTCAAGTAAATTTTTTCGCATCAATGCAGACATTCCGGTTGGACAATTGATTTTAAGAAAATCAGCCGAGAGGTATATTCGTGCATGTGCCGTACCAAAATAGACCTATTAGATTCAATTAAGAGTGAAAAAAATTATTAAATTTAATTAGGAAACGATGGACTGTACTTTCAATGAACTGGACAATCATCATTTCCAAATCCACTTACTTTTTCCAGAACGGCAGGAAATCCTTTTCGATCACAAACAAATGGCATCTGATGTACAAGTGCAACATCTTCTTTCATGGCACAAACCATATCCAATAATGTATCATTTTGCACTACAAAAAAAATATATATGATTTAAATATGATGTAAATAGAATGATGATGATGATGATTGTTATCAACTTACTTCTAATGCCGGCATCCGAAATAAGTATCAGTTCATGTTTAGATGCCTGATATGCTGGCTGCATATTATTAATCTTGGGATTAACACCAACTTTAAGGCCACCGATAAATAGACTTGCATCGATTTGTGGATATTTTTGTATTAAATTTTTAACACAAATAATGGCAGCATCTTTTTCATCTTGAACACAGAATAATAGCTCAAACTGATTTTTTTTTCAAGAAAAAAAAAAAAAAAAACAAAAATCATCATTAGGAAAAAAAAAAAAACGAACAAAATGTCATCATGTGTGTCTAATATGTATGTCATTTAATGATTGTCATGCCGAATCAAATCCAATCCAATCAAATATATAAAATGCCCATCATTCAATTACAATTAATCAAATTAACGTCAGAGTTTCATTTTCTCTTTTTGTTTGTTTGTCAATTATTAAATGTGAAATGAAGCAAATCTTTCACAACAACAACAACAACAACAAAGTTCTTGACATGTAAACAAAAAAACACACATAATATAATTGAGGAATGGAGACACATTCCATCCCCCTTTTTCTCGATTTTCCATAACAACAATGATTATCTGGTACTAAAACTAAAACAAGATAAATGAAATTCAATGAATTTGACACTGTCACGAAATTATATATATACAAAAATAAATGTGAAATAAAATCATGAAAATGATATGTTTTTCCTGTGTGATTTTCATTGAATTTCGTGGTGCGGGGGGGGAAGGGTGGCCGGGGTGAGTGGGTGAAGTGGTTCATTTTTTTTTCATCAAATGAATTTTCATTCATTATTGTCTATGTGTAATAATAAGATATATATAATGATGATGATCTTACTTTTGGATAATTTAGTTGAAAAAATGTTTCCATATTTGAATAAAGATTTTGATCAATACCAACTAAAGGCTTTATAATGGACACGCCTGGTAATGACATTTCTTTTATTGAATCGGTATCGATTTTTCTATGTAATACTCGTTTACTATTATTATTATTATTATCATTATGTTGAGAATATTTCACAAATTTTCCACATGATGATGATGATGATGATGATCGGATGAAATGTTGATATGGAATCATAAAAAAAAAGAAAAGAAACAAAAAACAAAAAAGAAAAACAAAGATTAATGCCTGAATATTTCAATAATAATTCAAATATTGAATCAACATGCAGAAAAAAAAAAAAAAAAAAATTTATTATCGCATTACATAATGATTATGATGATGATGATGATATATTCAATGTTGATAATATTGACTCAATTATTTTCTTAGCTCTTTCTTTTGTCTTCCATTCCCCTTTCAATTTACCTTGAAAATAAATCACAAGACGAATTCATCTCTCTCTCTCTCTCTCTCTCTCTCTCTTTCTATCTCTCTGGTATAACCAAGTTTCAAGTCCTATTAAACTCAATTTTTCCTTTTTTCCAGATATATCGATCAAACAAAAACAAAATTTTTTTCTTTTCTTTTCTTACAAAAAAAAAAAAAAAAAAATAGAAGAAAAATGAGGTTATACAAATTCAATTCGATCGAAATTCAAGAACAACAACCACAAAAGAAAAAAGTTCCAAAAAGTATTTTGTGTGTGTGTGTGTGCTCATTTGTATCTTGTGACAACCAACCGACCAACTAACCAACCAACCAACCAAACAACCGACGACAAACTCTATATATCTAAATAGTGGATCTTTACTCTTTCTTTTCAACAAAATTGAAATAAAATCAAATCAAATCAACACGTCGTTTTGATTGAAAATAAATAACAAAATCATTATAAATGGAAAAAACAAAACAAAAAACAATCAAACAATCAATCAATCGAATCGAAACAAAATTAATAGGTCACTAGAACTAATATAGCAAAATAGATACAAACACATGTATATATCCTATGAGAAAACATAGATTCAGAGCAAATAAAACCACAACAAACTTAGAAATATTTGATGATTATTGGATTTTCGGTGTCAAACATACTATTTAACAATGACTATATATATATATATGGACCAGAAAAAACGTGTATCAATTTAATATATATCAAAAGAGAGAGAGAGATTGGAGAAAAAAATTCATTCTACTATTCATGCGAAACGAAAAATGTGATGATGAAGAGGAAAAAAAATCCAAAAAATCTGTCACTTGATCTAAATTCTCATCCATTCAAATCACATGTGGCTATCGGGATTTTTTTTTGTGGTCGTCATCATCATAATCATCATCATCATCATCATCATAACCAAATAATTGTCATGAATCAAAACACACACACACAGACACGCAAACAAAACAATCAGAATGGTTATCATGAATTGTCTAGAATAAAAAAAAAATGAAAACAATTCAATATATATGCAGCAATATGTACATGGAATAACCTTGAATGATTATCATCAGAAAAAAATGAATAATAAACAATTAGTATATAATGAAAAAAGGCTTGGTGTCACTACCTGAACAAAATGAATGTGTGTGTGTGTGTGTGTGTGTGTGTATTATTATTATCATTTAAAAGTGAAAAAAAAGAAATTAAAATTAAAAATCAACCAAACTATTGATAATGATTGTAATTGTATTTACAACCCAAACAAACAAACAACAACAATGATGATGATAATAATTATTACATACATATGACCAATGGAAAAAAAATGAATTTTTTGAAGAAAAAAAAATTCTTCAACGTCCTTGATAACCAAAATCTAATGATTATTGAATGGAACACGAAAACATTCAACACCACTGTGTGTGTGTGTTCAATTTTTTCATGGCCATTCCACTCTCTCCCTCTTCCTCTTTCTGCAAACATTTCATCATCATCATCATCGTTAGTATTATTTTCAAATGATCATGATTGATGGAATGTTATAACCAAAAAATAATAAAAAAAATGCCATATCAAATGAATGAGATTCCAATTTCCAATTTTTTTTGATCATCGGAATTCCAGAAAAAAAACTTAGGTACAAAAAAAATGTTTACACAAACAAAACAAAAAACATACCCATGAAATAATGCCAAAAAATGCATAAACCAAACGAATATCCATCCACAAATAATGATGATTGCAATACCGGTTAATATATAATAACAGACAGCCTGATGTTCCATTACGATTACTACTAATGTTGATGATTATCATCAATCGTCGTTGATGATAAATCACAACAACAACAACAATGAGTTGAATAATTACAACCGATTGATGATGATGGTGGCCTTTTCTTTGTAGTCGTATTTAATCCGGTTAATATTATTGAAAATATTGACAATGATGATGATGATGATGTTAATAATAACCATTTGTTGTTTATTTTATGAATAAAATAATCGACATTTATACATTGATGATCAATGAATCGATGATTGATGGCAATGATGATAATAATGGTCAATATGAAAAGATAATAGTAAACAACAACAACAACAATCAAAACGATAAAATAATGATGATAGTCCATGCATCTATATATATATAAAAAAGAATAAAAAGAGAATTTTTTAAAAAAATTGTTCGAATTTTATACATTACATAATAACCAACAATGATGATGATCATCATCATCAAATGGCTGTTGTTGTTGTTGTGTGATTACAACAACAAACCAAAAAACAACAACAACAACATTAATAAACAAACAAACAAACATTCAAAAAAAAAAATGTTATTGCTTCTTCTTCTGCTGCTGCTACTGATGATGACAATCAGATAGCTGATTGTCACACACACACACACACACACGCACACAGACATACCATTTTTTTTCCTATAAGGTCATTGATCATGACGGTCAATCATCAGTGACAAAAAATTTTTTTTAAACGAGGGCGTATTTAGAAAAAAAAATCACCACCAAATAGCTACCATTCAGGATGAACGAATGACATGACAAAACAAAAAAAAGAAACAAAATCGATAAACAACAACAACAACAACAAGCAACAACAATCATTGCAGAAAAATGATTTGGGATATTATCGTTTTTCACACCAGTACAGAAAAAAAAACATTCAGAAAATAAAATTAATCTCAGTGTGTGTGTGTGTGTGTTTTTCGTTTCTCTTTCTTTGTCACCATGGTGGTGGTGGTGTTCATGAATCATCATCATCATCATTGCTAAAATCGAAAGAAAAAAAAGCTTCGCCATCAACATATCAATATATCCAATTTCATTCATAATTGAATGTTTTTGTCATCAAATTTTGTTATTGATAATTTATATATTGATTGATTGATTGATTTACTGCATCACACAGCATTTTTTGGTCGCTGGTATCTGTATCTGTGTGTGTTAAATTTAAAAAATGCATATAGATTGATAGTGTGCACACTGGTTTCGCGCTCTTTTTTTTAACAAAATTGTCCAACACAATGTTAAAATAAAATCTACCGGTTCACACACACACACACATTAGGTGTGTTAACCATTGACACACACACACACAAACAAAAATGTTGATGATAATAAAAAAAAAAAAAAAAATGTCTTAACATCCTTGTTCTTTTTTTTTCTCACACATTAAATTTTCATTTCATTTGAATTTTAAATGAAATGAGCTGATTGTGTGCGCTTCTTTTTTTTTTTTTTTTGGTCGCTGGTATCTGTATTAAATTTAAAAAAACTGGTTTCGCGCTCTTTTTTAACAAAAATTGTCCAACACAATGTTAAAATAAAATCTCCCAGTTCACACACACACACATTAGGTGTGTTAACCATTGACACACACACACAAACAAAAATGTTGATGATAATAAAATTGAAAAAAAAAAAAAAAATCTTAACATCCCAATTAAATTTTCATTTCATTTGAATTTTAAATTTTTTAAATATGACTTCTCTCTCTCTCTCGTTGACGCATTCCAATCCATGGCTGGATAACATTGGTAACCAATGATTACCACCACCACCACCATGGAGCATCAGAAGCAACAACAACAACAACAACAACAGAAATACATCTACCAGAGAAAAAAAAAACATATTTATATTTCATCAATCAATGACAGACAAAGATTTTTTTTTAATAACTCATTATCAAGCAATGAAATCCTTATTATTATTATTGTTTTATTATTAATGATGATGATGATGATGATTATTAGGTGCAAAGTATTCATACAACATCATCATCATAAATCTAAGTAAATTAATAAAAAAAAAAGAAATCAACAGGAAAAAAACAAAAGCTTTTCACATATTGAATGAAAAATGAAATGAAATAAAATCATCATCAATCGGAAATTGATCGAATGTTTTAATAGAAAAAAAACTACTGCTAAACTTTTAGATCAATGATGATGATGATGACATGTATCTATTGGATGATTCATACACACACACACACACAGACATTCCATATATTCAAAAAGTTTCACTCTGTATATCTTTGTATATTATATACATGCATGTATGTATGTATGTATGTATGTGTGTTTGTTCTTTGCTGTCATCATCAAAGACAAACTATTAAAACAGAACATGAACAGAATGGCTATGATGTTAATGTTGATGATGATGATGATGACGATAATGTCATGAATGATAATGGCAGTATATGTAACTTAATTTTATTCATTCATCATCATCATCAGTAGTGACAAATCAAAGACACAAAATACAAAAAAGACAAATATCATCAAATGAAATGTGTATCTATATATAATCAATTCATTTTTGTTTTGTTCTGTTTTTTTTTTGTGTGTGTGTGTTCAAGAGAAAAAAAGGTTTGATTTTGCAAACAATTTTGTAATAAAGATTATTGACATTGAAAATGCATTGTGGTAACGTTTTTTTAACGAAAAAAAAAATGAAAATGAAAATGGATGAATTTTGTTTCATTGTGTCAATCTTGAGCATGTATGGATATTTTTGAATGATAACCATGGAAAAAAACAATTATTCACCAAAGTCATTTTGGGATATTTGTGTGTGTGTGTGTGTGTATCTGTATCGATAAAGAAAATGATGATGATTTAGCAAAATGAAATTGAAATGGAAAAAAAAGAAACAAATTTGTCCAAATCAATAGGTTGAGATTTTTTTTCGAATGAAAAAAAAATAAATAAACACAAACAACATACCTCATATTTTGTTTTCATTCATTAAAATTATATTGAAATCACATTATGAATGATGATAAATAAAGTGTATATAAATCAATAATCATAATTCAATTGATGATTGATTGATGATTCATTATGCTACAATGATGCAATAATTCAATGATGACGATATTTTTTTTGTGATAAACATCGGCCCACCCACGCATAACAACAATGGTATAAATAAAATACAAAGATTGAAAAGAATTTGTTGAATGAATCGGAAAAAAATAAGGCTGGAATTTTGTTCTACTACCATAAAAGGACAAAAATTGCAGCTAGCGACAACAAAAAAAAACAAACAACATTCGAATTCGAATTTTCAATTTTCAATGTTCAAATAGCACAAGTTGCATAGAAAACAAATGAAATTCACTATTTTGATGATGATTTTGAATAAATGAAAACAAAAAATTGGAATGAAAATAAACTTAATGGCTGGTCGATCGATTGATTGATTGGTTATCGTTTGTGTTCAAAATTTATATCAATTTTCAAGGCAAACGATCAATCAAATTCTTCTTTTTTATTTCATCAAATGTGGACATTATTGGTTGGACAAAAGAAGAGGGGGCAGTGAATAATTTTTTGTTGTTTTTTTTGTTTTCATCATATATATTTATATTTACATTCGAATAATGAAATAAAACACACACACACAAAAGAAAAACGGAAGAAAAGAAAAATCGCGAATATTCTCATATACAGTTGATTATGATGGAATTGGAAATTCTGAAACAATCAATTTCTATTTACACATCATCATCATACATATAATGATGATGATGATTTGGCATTATAAGAATATAATAATATACGATAACATGATTTAAATGAATGCAATATATGTGTTTCCCAATCAACGGGACTCAATAAACAACAAATATAACAAACGATATATCAGTCGATGATGATAATAGTGGGTTTTTTTTTACTATAAAAAGAATCTAGATTTTTGTTGCAATTTCAAAATAATAATAAGATTGGAATGACAATAATGTTGTTGTTGTTGTTGTCATCGTTGTTGTAGCTAATGTCTAAAAAAAGGGGTGAACAAAATGTCCATCCACACCCACACCCACACACACACACAAACATAAACATAAACAAAATGTAAGTAGATGATGATGACAGGTGATTTTCTTTTCTTTTTCCTCCTTACCACTGATTTAATGGTGATGATGATGATGGTAGTTCCATTTTCTTCTTTTTTTCCAATTTGGTAAGAGAATTTTTTATTTAGAAAAATTGAAACGTTATCATCATCATAATCATGATTTCATTGTTGATAATGGATGATAACAAGTGAGACAAAAAAAAAATTCCGCCGATAATCATTGATGGTACTGGAAAAAAAAATTTTTTTACAATCGGCGTCCAAAAAAAACAACAACAACAAAACAACAATAACAAACACACACACGAAGCGGCGTGTTATTTTTTTCACACTTTTTTCTGCTGTTTTTTTTGTGTGTGTGTATGTGTGCTGAGAGTATGGCGTGATTATGAAAATATTTTTCGTGTGCCCGGGTTATTCATTTTAACCAAACACACACAACAATATATATGATGATGATGATGATGATGATGGATCCATACGGCGCCGACAATAACAATAACACAATATGACGACGACGACGACGACGAAATGGTGAATTGAATTCAATAATAATAATCTGGTATATATTCAACACAGCAGAAACAGCAATAGAATTGTCACTTTCACTTTAGCAGAATATAAAATGAATGAATGAATGAATAAATAAATAGACTACAGGTATATTTTGTAGCGCATGGCGCCTAAAAAAAACATACATGAAGATGATAATGATGATGAGTATATAAATCGGCTGGATCTTTTTTTCGAATTTAATGAAAATGATAATGATGATGATGATGTTGATGGTATTGAAAATTTTTATATATTTTTGTGTGTATGTGTGTGTGTTGTAACGACAAACCACCACCACCACCAATGGATAAAAGCAACAGAAAAAAAACGTAGGGGATATATAGAAACAAAAAATCAAAACGGAACGGTTGGTGTCTCTGTTTCTGTCTCTGTGTTTCACAATGAAGAAAAAGTTTCACCAATATTGTCCAATACTACTACTACTACCACTTACTATTATTATTTGGAATATATAAAATTCTATAATCCCCCCCATTCTCCCCTAGAGTCCTTCCATTTTTTTTTCAAATGTTTGACATTCTAAATTGAATGCTACTACCTGTATTCATTATTCATCACATTTTATTAACTACTACTATAGCAAAAAATAATTACTACCACTACACATTTACCACCACCACCACCAGTGCTACTACGAAAATTAAAAAAACTGCAGAATTTTATTTTGAAGAATTCTAGCAGAACAACAACAACAAAAAAGCGCGCGTATTAAAGAATTTTTTTTGTTTATTTGAAAAAAATTGGATTTTAATCATTTAAAAAATGATGATAATATACATGGATGTTTAACAGTTAACTTAGTTTATCGCTATAATCCACTTGAAAAAAAACAAGGACATCAAATCAGATAAGAAAAACGATTAGTTTTCCACACGCGTTATACAAATAATCCTAATTACCTATTTTTTTACGATATTACCGGTATTTAAATACAAAACAAACAAATGATGATCGGATCAATTGATTTTTTTTGTTGTTGTTGTTGTTGTTGCTGAAAATCATCACAAATCATATTTTACCATAATTTAATGACATAGGTAAACCAATATATGATGCTAATGAACTAAGCCAAGTGATTAAATATGTACATTGTTGATCACCACCATTCGATGACGATGATTGTTTTTGAGGATTGTGATCTATCGATTGTGATTTATCGCCATAAATACAATGTTTACAGCTAAGTACTTGACCCATCAATGATGTTGTTTGACATGGATGTATCATGAATACTACATGGCCAAATAATGGATGATTCTATTTTTTTTTTTTTGTTTTTAGATGGATATATAAACAGGAAACAATTGAAAATGAAAAACAAACAAATCATCAATCAATTAAATATATCACTTACAATCTGTGTGATTATATTGCCAAATAATTGATAAATTTCATCATTGTTAATGTTGTTTTTCAGTTTCTTCTGTTGTTTATTATCACCAAAATGATGATGATCATGATGATGATGATGATCATTGGATAGATTTGAATGAAAACTTGGCAAACGATTCCATAGCCATTCTAATGAAACGGATCTGCCATCTATATTATTCGGAGCGAAAAAAATTTTTTAAATTCAAACATATGAAAAAACAAAACAAAACAAATCAAACCTTGATCACAGATGTGAAAATAGAGGACAGGTGCCTGATAATTAACATTGTAGATGATGTGATATTCAAACTTATATAATGTACCGTGATGATTTAATGTTGATTTGATGATGGCATCATCATTATCATCAACACCATCACCACATAATGGTTGATCATCATGAAGCCATCTGTAGAGAGTTTTACAAAGAAAAAATTGTTGCTGTTGTTCATCTTCAATTGTCTATATATAATAATTGATTATTTTACGTTTTTTTTTGTTGTTGGCCAAAAAGAGATAGAAAACAAACAAGGGGTTAAAATTTTGATGATTATTTTTTTTCGTTGTTATGAATGAAATGAAAGAATAAATGACAGTTATGAGGATTTTTAAATTCAACAAACAAACAGACAGAAAAATCATTTCGATACACGTTTCCATACAAGAATTCTTGGCCCAAACACTAGATGTTGTACGATTTGAAATTTAGGTAGATATTCTTTACAATACATTTTGAATAGACCACTATTTATTTTCGACCAATCCTTTACACCACTTATATTCCACAATTGATTTGAATGTTCAGCGAATGGACCTTTTTTCACTTGATGTATAAAATGAACGGCCGAATGGAAAATATATCCATCTTTATATTGATCGGCAATATTTGCTTGTGGAAATGAACCAGTACCAATGGTAGGATGATCGATTAATTGTGCGGAACCAAAATAGAATGGTAAAAATTGAAAATCATCCAATGAAAAAACACCATGTGAACCGGCCGGTTCTAAACAATAACGTAGCTGAATTTTTCGTACCAATGGCATATAGATTAATGAAAAAATATTCAATAATTGATGACTAAATGATTGAAAAATTTGTCTTGAAAAGGTTTCACCATCAGATTTTTCCAATGCATTCGGTATTAATATTAATTTATAGATGCCCATTAGAAATATGATGAAACACATTTCATGTCCAGTTCCATAATCGATACGAACTTTATTACCAAATGAATCGGCTAAATAATATGCTAATTCGGTACCATATTCATGGCCAAAAATATCGATTAATTCATCATGAATATATGATAACATTTGATCAAACCATATCCGATAGGCTTTATTACCGAATCTAATATCAATGGAAATGAAAATTAAAATCACGACACACACAAAAAAATGCAACAGTAGCCAATAATAGCCTACCTTTGATTTTTATCATCATTAATAGGTTCAATTCGATCACAAAGATCGCCAAGATGATCAAGTAAACGTATAACATTTTTCAAATGAACATCATCAATTTCATTACGTGATTGAAACACACGATTATGTACACCTTTTGCAAATTCATTTAGTAATTTAATGAAATTTAAATAATCACGATATGCTTCCGAATGAAGCCACATTTCCATATCGGTTGTGTTCAATATACGGCGACAACATTTTGTTTCAATTATTTCATCACCACCATCATCATCATCATCATCATCATCAACATCAACAACAACATTCGATTTTGATTGCTGTTGTTGTTGTTGTTGTTGGCCAGTGATTCGATCATCATCATCATGAACAACATTGTGGTGAATAAAATCACCTTTGGAATTCATTATTGAAATTTTAATAATTTAATTCAAATGTAAAATACTCAAAACACACGTACACACAAAAACCAAGAGAGAGCAAGATAAACCATCTCAGCTGATTTGAAAAAAGGAAAGTTTCCAAAAAAAAATTCGATTCAAATCAACTAGATGTCCCCATAGTAGGATTTTTATTTCAAAAAAAAAAAAAAAAAAATTAATCGACAACCTTGATGATCACGGAAACCAAACACAAAAATTACAATCAATTTAAAAGTAGAAAAAACCAAAACGGATGGACAAAAGCCATCACCATCACCACCATCATCATCATCATTCGATTGCATCGATTGATTTTTTTTCCAATAAAAAAAAAGAAAGAATCCACATCCATTCATGTGGTTAATTATCATCATCAGGCTTATTATTGTCTTTTTTTATTCAATAAAACAATCAAAAATATATTTCGAGATGCAACAACAACAACAACAACGAAAAAAAACGTTTATCTTCAAAACAATCCACGTGCCTTGAATATAATACGCATGTGTTATATGCCTTTCGGTGTAGATTTTTTTGTTCATTTTTAAATTAATTTTTTTTTCATTCTTCCGGTTCTTTTCATCTTCTGTTGTTGTTGTTGTAGTTTTCTTCAATTGTTAGAGATGATTTCATTATCATCATTTTATTATGCCGGGCTAGAATCGATTCATGTATACAGAATATCGAATAATGGATATATTCAGGATTCATTCTTTTTTCTTTCTATTTCTCAAATTTTTGTTTTTGAAAATTCCTATTTATTGGCATAGGAATCATCATATTATTCTTGAATAAAATGAATTTAAATACCATATTAGTCAGTTAGTAGTAGTAGTTAGTAGTGTATCAAATATACCTTTCACTCTAAACAAACAAGCAATGGCTGGTTAGAATGTTTGATGACCAACTACTAGGCAACCAACCAACCAACCAACCAACCAGCCAGTTTAACTCAAGAAGAAAAATCCAAAAATCCATTTAGATTCTAGGGATATCCCCGAAAAAAAAACTCTCTCTCTCTCTCTGTATACATCTATCTATTCCAACAAACCAGATTTGAATAGTAGGAAAAAAAGTGATCAATCCGGTGAATGGAAATGAAACCATGAACCATTCAACCAAACCAGAAGACTGAATTTTTTAAAAAAAACTGAACAAAATATAATGGAAATAGAAAAAAATATATTCAAGTGAAAATCAAAAAAAAAAAAACACGAAAGAATAATTTCCGATAGAATGAATATATGAAAAGCAAAAAAAAAATTCTAGATTCACACACATACACACACCAACACACACACAGAATAGGTGATTCTATCTTATTGCACAAAACATACAAGAATATTCTACTGGTTCTGGAACCTATAAGTGAAGAATCCAAACAGAATCAATCTTATGGTAGTGGTAATAGTATCAGTAGTGGTATATCCCAAAAAAAATATATTAACATAGTATGACACATAAAATGACTTGAAATTCAGTAAAAAAAAAAATCCATCAAACACCACCACCACCACCACCAGTATCAAAATAGCCATAACTTCATCATCATTATTATCATCGAAATGTTGATGATGATGATCATCATCATCCATGCATTTTTTTTCCTATTGAATTCAAATAGAAAACTTGAAAAATGGATTCGTCCACCAACACCACCACCACCACCCGCACGACTACCAGAAAAAAAAACGAATCGAAACGAAATATATCGACAAATGGCATGAAAAAAAAACCTACACAAGGGGAAAAGCAAAAAAAAAAAAATAAAAATAAAAATAAAACCAGCCAACAACTGGTTTTTAGATTTTTTTTTCATGTTGTTGTTGTTGTTGTTGTTATTCTCATTATACTTTTATATATATTATCATTATTATAGCCACAAAAAGCGAAAAAAAAACAAGGGAGAAAAAAAAATAATGGTGGAGTGTGGTGGTGGTGATTTTCTAAACCAGAAACCAAAAAAATTTTACAGGCAAACACCACCACCACCACCACCATCACCAACATTTGAAAAAAATAGAGAATAGACACCACCACCACCAGTTAAATAAATTGGGATAGATGTAGTGAATATAAAAAAAAAAAAAAATTTGGCGCGCAATAAAAGTGGTTCACAATATAGGTTGTTCGTTGGTTGGTTTTCTGGTTTTGTATGGTTCTCTCTTCTCTCTCTCTCTCTCTCTCTGGTATAGGCATGCGGTATATATTGCTGCGGTACTAACCCATAATCATTTGTGAACAATGGACCATTCCATCAAATATATATTTTTTCTATGAGTGTGTTGTATATATGCTACTTTCATAAATTTGAATTTTCTTTTTTTTCTTTCTTTCTTTCTTTCTTTTCCATCATCATTTTTCTCTTTCTCTTCGATACATTTTCATCATCATCATTATTTATAGTTTGTTTTGTTTCGTTGTGTTGTTCATCATCTCTTTCTTGAGTGGAGTTGTTTTTTTCGTGGCCAAATGCAATGGTTATGATGATGATGATGATGATGGTGACGGCGGTGGTGGTTGTTTGTTTGTTTGTGGATACAGTAAAAACTCGATTCAATAATAAAAATTCTGTTAGTGATTGAGAATTATCGTGAAAAATTGTGGATTATTTTTCTGTTGTTGTTGTTGGATTAAATAACAACATTTTTTGTTTTTGATCTTGAATTGGATCTAAGAAAGATTTAAAAATGGATCTTGTTTTTTTTTAGAAATTCTCTAGAATAAATAATCCAAAAGAAAATCTTTTTTTTTTGTTTCGGTAGATACACGTATGGACAGTATACGCATGTGCGTAAATTAAAACAAAAACAAAAATTGATACTGAAAGTGTTCCACACACACAAATATATATACTATACTATTTTATTATTATCAACCATTTTATCAATGTGATGATGATAAAAGGTGCAAAAATTGTTTTAGCTAAAAAAGAAAAATAAAAACGAACCATACAAACAAAAAAAAAAAATCCTCTCTCCCTCTTGTGATGATATTTTTTTTTTTGTTATTACACAATGAATACGCATGCGTCAAAAAATAATGATGCTACCGCCATTGCTGTTTCAATAGTTTTTTTTGGTTGAATCGAAAAAATGATGACCAAAAAAAAATTTGTAGGATCTGGTTGAACCGAACCGAACGGAACCAACCAAGCACACACACACATCCAAATATATTCGCATTAGTGAGTGTGTGTGTGTGTATATGCTCTCCATTTCCAACAAGAATGGCATGGATACGTCGTCGTCGTCTTGTGTTTATACTTCATCATCATAATCATCATCTCACAAAGGCCAAAAGACACTGTGCATTCTCTCTATTTCTCTTTTTCTCTATGAATAAAGTTAGAATCGAGAGAGAACATTTCACAAAATAAAAGTCCAGAATGAAAGAAAGGGCCATACGGTCGGATCAACCAAAGAGCGCAAGTCATCTACATAAACATTTAATGAAAAAGGCCAGTACACTAACTATTAAACAGGCAAAATAATATAAAATCCTTCAGAATATTCTTTTAACGAAAGAAAAAAAAATGTTCATCGAAAAAAATTCTGAAAATACCAAAAAAAAAAAAATTCAATTTACACACATTCATTTCATTACTATATACCACTACTAGTTGGTCCATTATTATTCATGCTACTACAATGCTGGTTTATCATAATCAATACCACTATTATTTAGGAAACAATATACAGGAACAATCTCGTTACATATGCACACAATGGGATCAACCACCACAACCACCACCACCACAACACCAATGCTAATGATATAAATCACATTCAGAAACAAAAGTAGTAGCATGACTGATAACATATTCTAAAATTACCACTACAACCATTCTATTTTTGTATGTATCATATTCTCTCTCTCTCTCTCTTATTGCTATCACACAGTATTTCTCCATTATAATGATCCAACATCATCATCATGGTCACCAAATAATAACCACTACCACTATACTAGTATCATTTTTTTTTCAACTAACAAAAATACATACCGAAACCAAAAAAAAAAAAAAGAGAAATGAGAAGAGATATTGGGAAACAGAAAAAAATTTGAGATTCACGCATATGCGCGAATATACATTTTCTATTGAACAAACACATTAAACCAAAAAAAGAGAGAGAGAAAAATTGTATTTTTTTTTTTTTACAATACGAAAAAAAAACCGACACACACACACAAACATACATTATATACATACATACATACATTTATATATATATATATACAAAGAAGAGTGAGAAGAAATACGAACCGAAAAAAAAATCCCGATTCGGATTCTCGTATACAAGACACACATACATTACACACACATTACATACACAAACAATACATTTATATGAAAGAATAATATACAATCTTCATATACACACACACACACACACACAGAAAAATACTTGAAAAAAAAGAAAGAATAATAAAGTCTCTATCTATTCTATCTCTATATTGGTGGTGGTAAAAATATAATGTGTGTGTGTGTATGTGTTCCAAACCCTAGCTAAGAGTTGTATGTTTCTGTGTGTGTGTGTGTGTGATGTATGGATTTTATAAGTATGTGTATATTCTGATGAAAAAAAATAATCCTCATTGATTCACAATACAGTGTGTATGTGTGTGTGTGTGTGTGTTTTTGGGTGACAAAACCAAAAAAATAATAAGAATAAGAAGCAAAAATTCTCAACAAACAAACAAACAAACAAAAAAATATAACCACAATTCATTCATTCATTCATTCATGATCAATGTTGTTGTTGTTGTTTTTTTTCAGTGCGATACTTATTCATCCATCATCACAATAAAAAAAAATATCAAGTAAAAGAATTTCGACAAAACTTACCGACAACGACGACGACGATTGACAACCAATATTCTTCATTTTCATCAAAAACTTTTTCAACCACGTTGTTTCATCTTGATATTCTTGTTGTTGTTGTTGTTGTGATTGTTCATTTGAAGTACAGTATTTATTTTGACATTTTTTATCATCATCAATTTGAATGTGAATTTTTTTCGAAATTTTTACCAAAGTATCAGCTGATAGTGAAAAATCTGACCATTTTATTGGTCTTTTCATCATCATCATCATCATTGTTGTTGTTGTTGTTGCTGTTGTTTTAGCTTGCATTGTTTTTGTTGTTTTTGCTGTTGATGTTGTTGTTTTAATTTCATTATCATCATCATCATCATCAATATCGTCAATTCTGTTTGATGTTTGTTTTTCCAATTCATCTTGATCCTGTATAATAAATTAATTGATTTGATAAATTCAACCAAATAACATCCATTGTCATCCTTTTAGAAAATTTGACATTTTTTTTTTTCATTCATTCAAACAACAACAACAAAACTGAATTCAGCTGAATTTAAAACTAATCATCAGCTCTTATATTTTCAATTCAAACTATTAATTATTTTCATGGATATTATTCATTTCTTCTATTAATGACAGGTAAAAATTGAAATGACATCAAAATCACTTACCATTTCTGTTGTTGTTTAACCGATAATTTTTTTGGTTGTACCGATTGTTTCGTTAGTGAAAACCGATGTTAATCAAGAGATGATTTTTTTTTTTTTTGATTTCAAGAATTTTCGTCGTTTTTTCGAAAAAACAAAACACGAATTCGGTAAATGATTATTTTGAGTGTTGTTGGAGACAAACAAAATGATGATTCTCGAATACATTCAATTCGATATGCGCATGTTTTTTTTTATTTAATCATGATTCTTTCATAAATGACGTGTTTTTTTTCAACATTCGAAATTCTTTATTAATGATGATTTAAGAATTGTTTTTTTCGAGAGAAAGAGAATTTTTATTTCGTCTGTTTTTTGTTAAATTCCATGATTCTTGAAATGAAAAAAAATGAAAAAAATTGACAAATTCAAAATTAAAAATACATCCGGCTTCTACATTTCCTTTGTGTGATTATCTAAATATTTATTTTTCCGTCTTTCTGTCTGTCTGTCTGCCTTTTATTTTTTATCATAATGCACACGATTCTCGATTCAATCGGTCGATTGATTGATAATTTTCTCCAAAAAAAAAACTCAAATTTGAGCCACAAACAAGCAAACAAACAACCGATTCTAAACCACTATTTTACAACACAAGCCATTTTGGAAGAAAAAAAAATACCATAGTAACAAGTGTTATTATTGTCTTGTGTTTCCAAATTTTTTTTTTATATTTCGTCATCATCACCAACTCGAACCATCATCATCATCATCATTCGACTATATTGGTATTTTTGGTTTATACAATAAAACTATTTCAACACAACCGATTGATAACACAACATGTATACATCATGTATAAAAAAAAAATTTTTTTTGAAAGAATCAATTTCAAAAAAACAAACACTACCATCATTTTTGATGATGATGATGATTCGTGTTTGTGTTTAATCCATCACCACCACCACCATCAACGTGTTGTCATTGTCACCACCAATTATTTTTTTTTTTGAAATCATTGCCCATCATCATCATCAGTATATGATACTTGATCAAAACAAACAAAAGTTACCTTTTTTACGCGTGTGTGTGTGTGTGTGTAGATCAACGACATAAAATATAAATGATGATAATGACGATGATCATCATCGTTTAAATCAGAAATCATTGCATATATTTTTTTTGTTTTTATCCAGATTTGGATTGCAAATTTTTGTTTTGTTTTTTGTTGTTGCAAAATATCGGTTTTCATCTAGTATATTACCAGAGAAAAATCGGTTACAACCAGAATTATTATTCAGTTTCCAGAATTTTCATAAAATTAATTCTTCGTTTTTTTTTCCATTTTTTTTCTTCTCCCCTTTCCATTACCATTATGATAATGTCAAAAGCCAAACGTTAAGGTCATGTATGCCAAGGGGAAAGGCACGACCGTTCCTTCTGATGCCCAGGCGCGTGAAAAGTAAGTATTTTGTTCATGTGGATATAGATTACATTTAAATTCTTGAAATTGAATTTAATTTTTCTTTATTTTTTTTAAATTCAGGCTAGCACTCTACGTATATGAATATTTACTACACGTGGGCGCTCAGAAAGCTGCGCAAACTTTTCTATCAGAGGTAAGAATAAAGAATTTTGAACAAAAAAAAACATACACCGGATGCAAGAATTGGAGCTTTTTAATGATTGAATATTTTTTTTTTGATAATAAAAAAAGATACGATGGGAAAAGAATATAACATTAGGCGAACCGCCTGGATTTCTTCATTCTTGGTGGTGGTAAGTATTACTTTTCGGATTGAGAATTTAAGAATTGAGATTAATTTTTTTTTGTTTTGTTTCATTCAGTGTTTTCTGGGATCTTTATTGTGCAGCTCCAGAACGGCGTGATACTTGTGAACACTCTAGTGAAGCCAAAGCGTTCCATGATTATGTAAGTGGCAATGTTTTTTTTTTTTTTTCATTTAAGTTTTTTTGATTTGGATTTTTTGTTTTGTTGATTTTTGTTGTTATTTATACACACACACACACACACACACAAATTTATCCATTATGAATTCATCTAAAGACATGGCCAGAATTGATCTCTTTTTGTTTGTTTGCTTGGTTTAACCTGACCAATCATCACAATATATCTACCGATTATAATATTTCGTAATTAATGTTTTCATGAATTCGTTAACGTTATTAACATATAGATGCATATAGAATAACTGGATAGAGAATTTTTTTTTTACTTGTGGGGTAAGAATTTCAAACCTAAATGAAAAAAAATGGCGCATGCATTCCAAAAATTTGTATTTTTTTTCACTCTGAGGCCCTTTTTGTTGTGTGTGTGTGTGTGTGTGCATGTTTGCATATGAGTAGTGTGGTTGGTACCTATACTACCTTTATTCTTATTCTATAATGGTTCTGTGATTCCACACTAGTATGATGGTGGTTTTTTGGGCATGATGATGATGATGATGATGATGATGTGTATGTAATGTCGCTGTAGAATTTCGTTATTCTTTTCTCTTTTCTCTTACTTATCATTAAAAATAACCAGGTTGTTGTTGTTAATCTTGCTGCACAAAACCTATTGATGATGATGAGGTTCATGAAAATTCCCATTTGGATTACCATAATGAAACCGTTATAGTCGATATTTCGATACATGAAAATCAGAATTAGAATTAAAAATTAGCAATGAGAGTATATAAAATCTTTGAAGGAATGTACACACACCTGTACCTCTTGAATATTCTTCATCCATTAATTCTGTTTTCCAGATACTTTTTTTTGTTTTTGAATGATTCTGATTTCTGTTTTCTATTAAATATTTAATCAAAAATACAAGAAAACCGGCATACGACATAATATTCTTGAATTTTACACACACACACTGGATATTTTTAAATTTCTTGTTCATTTTTTTATCTTGCCTTTTTAATTTTTCGTTTAAAAAAAAAAAAATTCTGTATATTTTCTCACTATATATATCTATCTATCTATCTATATACTGTATTTTTCTTCTTCTTCTCCTTATTCTTCTTCATTTTCAATCTACAATCATCATCACTATAGGGATTTGTCAATTCGGGATATACTGTCAATGGAATTGCTGCCCATGTAAGTTTCTCTATCTGTCTATTTCTGCTGGAATTTCTGCTTTTGTGTTTTCTAATAATATCAATCTATCATTTCGAGATCAATCAATCAAATCAAACCAAATCAATTCTTTTTCTTTTCCTTTTTCATATTTCTCTTCACTTTTTTCTTTCAAATGATAATGTTGTAATCATAATCCAGTTTCATTTTTTTATGAATAAAATAAAAATTTGCATATATATCCACATTTATATTATGATTTTGTTCAAGACACACACACACACACACATACACAACTTGTGTTTATTACTTGAATTATTGTCATTCATTGTTCATTTGTTATTATTAGTTAGGGTTAAAATAGCCATAAAGATAGGATTGTCTTTGTTTTGTTGTTCCTATTTCGAGAAAAAATAAAATTGAACGATGAACCTGATGATGACGATGATTACATAAACGTCAAATTCAGGTTGAATTCTCTTTCTCACATACACACACACAACACACACTGTCTGATGTTCATAATGGTCACGACCTTTGTTCTTGTTCTTGTCTTGGGTCATAGTTGTTGTTGTTATCAGTGATCGAGGTTCAACAACAACAACAACAAGTTGAAACCATTATTTGAATGAAAATTGTCGATTCAACAAAAAAAAAAAAAAATACGGGAAAAAAACAACTAACCAACCAACCAACCATCCGATACAATACAAAATGAATGTGGGTATAGTTTGAACATAGTATAACCTGAAAGACTTGTTTTCTTTTTCTACCTTTGATTATTTTTACATTGCAATTGCATTACTTTTTTTTATTTCTTCTTCCTATTTCATCTTCATGTTTTTTTTTTTTTTTTTTTTTGGTTTTGTTTGGGTGGTTGTTGTTTTTGGGTTGAATTGTTGTTGTTCATTATTATGAAATGCTATGTATAACTGGTAACTCTTCTTGCTCTCTTTACCTGTATGATTTATCTTTATCTATTTTTATTATTGTCTCTCTTCAAATATTTTTTTTTTTTATTCTGGGTGTCTTTTTTTATTATGAAAGAAGCGACAATGATGATTATCATGATGATGATGATGATGATGATCATTATTCCATAGCTTCTGTTATAATCGAAACATGGTATAGATAGGTTTTTGATTCATTTTTTTTTTTTTGTCCATTTCAATTGTAAAATTATGATATGCTTATGGTGGTTAATGATGATTACACTATGTTCGTAAAAAAAGAAATGACAAGAGACATTGGTACATATATATGGAAATAATTGGATCTATATACCGGTATATTTTTTTTGTTCTTGTTTACAGGTTCCGTTCATTAACCCTTTGTGAGAATGGTCGTTGATCAGACACACACACACACACACACACACATAACCCGAAATTGTTGTTGTTGTTGTTGATGATGATAGCATTCGAAATATCATCATTAATAGAGAGAGATATTGGTAGATTAAACAAAACTGATGATCTTGATACGATTTTATTATTATAGAATAAGAATAATTGGAAAATCAGATTGATTCTAGTCATTTGTTGATCAATTTTATTAGTATTGAAAATTGTTATGGATATTGATAT